AAATCACGACACGTCCACCATTTCTAATTTTAATATTTATCTTTATTACGCGAAAAGTGCGAATAAACAAAGATCGCAATGGCCTGAACAGGGACGAAGTCTTATCGATAAGTGGTAAAATTGAGAGCATAAATGATCTCGTGATTTATCAACGATGTGTTAATATCGTTAGGTCCTTCTTTTATTTCCTGCATCGCATTTTGGAAGCTCTACTTTTGGAAAATTTCGACGGAATCAGTTTTATTAATAAACCCAGAGAACTGAATGTTTCATAGCGATATCGAGTGCACAGATTAATGAAACAATCCTCGAGTACCTTAACCAACATGATAGGACGTCACTATCCGACTTTCTCGAGTAGTTGGAACAGCCTTGATCTGAAGAGGAAATATGGCCGATCCTCGTTTCGCTGAAATCGTTACATCAGACCTGACGATCTTGCTTTTTAATCGCAATGTCGAATTTCTTTTTTCCTGCCAACGCCGCGTCACGATTGTCTTTTAATTATGCAGTCTTATTTATCTGATGGAGGACTGCCATGCGGAACAAATGTGATTTCGTTTATTTACTCTCGTTACGCTGCTCGACGACGATTACCTCTGCAATCATTCTCGTATCTTTCAGAAAAGAGGGAAGCGCAAACTGAATGAAAACAACGTAGAAGGATAATTTCTTACACATATTATAAGCGCAATAGTGTCGACTACTTTATTATTTACACTGGTGCGACATTAAAACATAAAAAAAAAAAAACGAAAACATAAAAAAAGTATAATTGTTTTTCTCAAAATAATGTTATTGAATGATTTTCGTAATGATGTTAGTTATGAATGACGAAAATGATCTAAATCAAATCATCAAATAAATATGATTCCGTGACAGTGATAAGTGACCTATTTTCTGTTCATTGTTTGCATATTCCAATGTTATACTGAAACCATATCTTTCTTATTACATATTTGATTTTCTTTCAACTTTCGGTCACTTCTTTAAACTATTTCATTCGTGTACTAATTATTCGCACAGACATACGGTAAATCACGAGTCTAGGCGATTGTGTCGAGAAAGTCAATTCTACTAAATCATGTTGTGAAAAGTGATTCGTTGCTTGTCGATAGCCTCAATCGTTATCTTAGTTATCAACACGAGCCACTCGTCTTCGTATTCACGATTGATGAGAGAAAAAGGACGAACTGGAAAAAAATGATTCGCCATGAATCTTTTCAATTGTGAATCGTAGACATCGAGATATCGATACCCACTTACGATAACGGTATACGATATTACGTAGTTCTTTAAACATCACCACTAACTGGAAAAAACAGTACAAAATAAATAAACCTTTCGCTCTTGTTTTACTCGAGTCAGAACAGATCAACATTTTATTTTTCTAGTAATTTTTGTAAAAAATCATTTGTTTCACTCTTCAAATAAAAAAGGAATAAACCGATTGGTTAAATGTTGATTTTGCCAACACTCCCTAACATTGCCGTAGCTTTTTCGAAACAAATATAACGAGGTTCGTACAAAATGCAAAAGTTTAAAAGCTTCGAAATCCATCAAAATGTCGGATGTCAATAATTTATAAAAATCCCGAAGCTTTTCAAGAATCAGCGGTGGAAATTAAAGACATATGAACCTCATCGGGCTAATTACAATGTCATGACACAGACATACTCCTTGGTCACTAAAAGTCACTGTCATTAGTACTGTTTAATCTTTAACGCAACGTTTCTATAGTAAAGTCGTGCCTCGAGCACAGTATAATGTTTGTTTCGACAAAAATCGCGTAATCAATAAGGTATAATTAAATTAATTGAAGTGATTGAATGAAGTTTTCCACGATGTCATTGATACGATGTTTTGATCAGTGAAAAGTATGTAACGAGAAACCGAATGTGGGTTAGGGTCATTGGTAATCGATAAAACGATCGATAATGATCCCGTGAGGATGAACCGCGTCTCATTGGTATTTAAAGCAAGACCTGAAGAGGTTCGAAACGCTGTTTTGTAATCATGACTGCTACAGTAGCTACAAAAAGTATTTTCAGAACGCTTCTGTTATTGATCAATTAATTAAAAGCGAATTCTCGAAAGAAAACCAAACGCTAAATTTCTAATGATCAAGAGAGCCTTATTACAACATATACATATGATAATACTTTTTGTAGTCACTGACATGTGTTTTAAGGTACTTCTTTTATCGGATTGGGATCCGGTTCAGGTAAAACTGGTAAAAGATCGCCTAACAGTTCATTGTGAATTTCCTGATACGTTTTTCCTTTAGTCTCCGGTACTAACATGTGTGTAAATGCCGCTGCGCCAGCCATGATTACGGCGAAGATCCAAAACGTCATATCGGCTCCCAGTTCGTCGTTCATCATTGGGAATGTTTTGGTAACGATGAACATCACAAACCAATTCAACATAACTGCCATACTAGACGCTGCCGTCTTTGTTTCCGGGGAGAACACTTCGCCCATCAGCATCCACGGAACTGGTCCCATACTAAATTAAAAAATCAAACAAATCTGTTTTATACATCGGTTGAAAAAAGTTATGTTATGAATTCTGATTCTTGAAACAATTATCGAGAATCAAAATATGCTATAACTGCTATTAGATGTTTCGGACCTTATATTGGTTTTGGTTTTGATACTTCGGAATTCATATTATATCGATTTTATAACTGTATTTCAGTTCTTCCGGTATGTAGTAAGTAATTAGTTTTTTAAGGCTATTTCAACTGGAATTTTTAATTTGTACGTAGCAAGTAGTAATAGTTTTACGACTGTACACATAAACTTTTCGATTGCTAAGGAAAATATGTACTTATTACTTAACATAACGGTAATCGAAATGAAGAACCGGAGTACAAAACCGAACAATAACAGAATCGATGTAATCGATATAATATCGGTTCTGCAGGACCGAAATCGAAACCCATATAAAACAAAACTGATGTATCCAATAACGGTTATAACATTCTTTTGGTTCTCCTTAACTATTTCGGTCGGAATCAATATATGAAACAGTTATTTTCGGAACGTTTTCAATCTGCGGTTTCATGATACGAATTCCAATATTACCTGAAAAAATGATACTATCGTTAGTCTTACATACCCAATAGAAAATGCGACCATAAAGACGATTAAGGAAGTAAGCGGTAGCCAGCCGAGCGCGCTGACATCATTTCCGCCGTCTTTCTGCTTGAAGTAGTATCCGAGCGCGATCAGGCTGACTGACATAACACTGCTGGAAATCATCAGCAACGGTTTCCTTCCGGCGCGATCCACAATCAACGCAGCGACACCTGACATCACCAGCTACACAAACAAGACATTTTTTTTGCTATTTACCGTGAAAACATTTGCCGTTACACTTACAACTACGACGTAATCAAAGGAAAGAACCTGGCTGAAGAAAGAACTGCTTGCTGATTCGCAATTTTTTCTCCTTACACTATCATGAAAACTCCTGTACGGATTTTGATGTTCTTTTTTTTATAAAATTCGTTCCTTTCGCATAATTTTTAAAAACGTAAATTACATTTCTTAAGTCTGATATTCTTCTCATTTTTCATGATTATAACAATTTCGAATTACTGATTGGAAATGACTTGACAAACAAAATTAGAATACGTTAAAAAGATAAATACGTAATTTTGTGTTTTGTACCAGAGAGACTCAAGGAGGTGGTTTTTATAAATATTTATGTAATTAGAAAATCAACAGGAAATCGAACCTGAACTAGAGCAACGACGATAGATGCAAGTTCCGGAGCCATCGAACTTCCTGACGCTTTAAAGATCGTCACCGTGTAGAAGATAACAGCATTGACGCCGGAGGCTTGCTGGAAGAACATCATTCCAAAGGAAGCTATCATGGCCTTTTTGGTTACCGGAGATTGAATCATCTCGGACATGGTTGGCTTCTTGCCGGCAGACTCCGCCACTACCTTCTGCAGCTCATTTATCTCCTGTTTCTGGTCGTAATTGTCTCCTCTAAGCACTGATAGGGCCGCGGCTGCATCCTGCTTTCTGTTTTGGCCCTAATATGTTAAAAAAGTTTATTGTAAAAAAAAAACGTTCCTCCACTTCGACAGAAGTTAGCATATGAACATTTATGTAATTACACAATAAAAATTTAAAGAGCTTACAGCAAAAATAATATTTTTGTTATAAACAATTGATTTTGCATAAGAAGTTGTAGTATCAGAATAATTCACGATAAAAAAAATGTTTGCGATAACGCACCACCAACCAGGCGGGAGATTCAGGCATCCAATAGAAGGTAAGGAGAAAGAGAACGATGACGCCGGTGCATGCGAGGGCGAAGGGTGAATAACTGAGACAGCTGCCTAGGATAAATGCAATGAAAATTCCAACGGTGAGGAACAGCTGGAACATCGCGCCGAGGGTTCCTTTAGTCGAAACTTCAGCGATTTCCGATATGTAAGTAGGCCCGAGAACGCATCCTGCGCCGATGCCCATGCCAACTAGAAATCGAGCGATGTAAAGGACCTTCACTTCCGACGCCATGAGAATAAGAACCCAAGAGGCCAGGAACGGGATAGATAATAAAAGAAGTGATTTCTTTCGTCCCATTTTGTCCGCCATCGATCCAGCCGGATACGCGCCAACGATGGCACCCAATGGAAGGAAGGAACTGATCCAGGATCCTTGATCCGGGGTGATTTTCAACCATGAATCGGGTGCCGAAAGTTTCGGCAACACTGGTGATGTCCATGCTATTGCTGTGCCGATTCCGATTACTAATATGCAAGCTATAGAGAACAGACAAATAAAAAACGCTCTTAAAATAGTTGTAATATATGTTTATTGTTAATATCGTTTAAACAACCATAATGTATAAATTTGCAAAAAAATGTTGATTCAATCCATCTATTGTTCGCACATGTATGAGCAGCAGAACAATGTGTCGAATTAAAAAATTCCATTTTCCTTCCAAAAGGATTTCTATGGAATATCCAGGGATCAGGAATTGGAGGAACAAATTTCGAATGAAGTCACAAAAATGAAATAGTAGGAGTTTTAATTGAAGTGCATTCGTGTTGAAATTGAAATCGTTCTTTACTGTAATTTTCCTATATTAACGCAATTCGAGAGAGATATTTCGGGAGAGATATATTCGAGAGAGAAAGTTGAATTTTCAGTTCAGAACTTGACTTCGGGTAATATAATATTGATAGAAATCGATTGCGTTTGCTTAATTACACTTCTGATTATCAGCTAATAATCGTATACATTACTGTCAGTTTTATCTACGTTACACTCAAAATCAATTATTAATTTGAGTACCTTGGAGGAGTATGAACTTACGGCCAGAGATAACAGTTGCAATTATCCGAAAACCGATAGCGAAAATGAGAAGGAAATAATCTGCATGTGTATTTAGAGCGAAATACTTACTTAGACATTCGCGAAAACTAGTATGACAGTTTGACCTTACAATTAATGAAAAAGAGAAGATACTGTTCTGATTTGGAGAATTGTAGGTTTTTAGCAAGACAGTGACTTCACTGTTCTTTTTATAATAATGATCCAAGTTAAGTTCCTAATTCATTTTACGATATTCAATCTAAAAGAGTGCCCCAATTATGCTGATTAGAAAACAGGTTCTATAATTATAAATAATGAGATTCCTGACGTAATCAATATTAATTTCAGCAATTAAGACAACAATCAATATCCAATTTCTAATAGCTACTGTCACCTTTTCTTAAAATATTCTCTAGTGATTGATTAAACTGACACTAATTTTAGATTCTCAATCAATGAGAACGCGAACGGGTGTAAAGAAATAACGGAAAACGGTTGAAACAGACGAAGCAAAAAAAAAAACTATGTAGTTCGTTTAGCGTGTTGCTTAGAAGTACCGGAAATAGCGGAGATGTATTGCCACAGCTTCCTGCTCTCCTGACGTACGACGGCTCCATTAATCATCCCCATGCTTTCCATCTCGTCGAAATTAGCGTTTCGTCGGTTGAACGATGGGTCTGCACCTCGAAGAATGCCTTGACGATCGAGATAAACTAACAGCCGAAGATTGATCGACCGTCCTGGATCCCAATCGATCACAAATTCTTTTTCTCAAGCTCCTGTTACTCTAAATTTTCGCGTTTTACGGAATATTCGTCACAACGAGACACGGTGTCGCGAGCACTTTTCAATGAATCTCCGAAATCTGACGGCACGGTAGAGTTCAGGTGAACCGCATATTTCGTTCCAAGCAAATCAGAGTCGATCGAATCGAGTGAAATGGAATGAACGCGATTTCCGGCGAGGGCCATCATATATCGTGGTCGCCACTATCTTGACCATCATTATCGCTAGTCTCAGCTATTATCTCATAATCGAAGGAAAAAACTGTTTGGAAATCACGATTGACGAGTATCGACGCTTACGACAGATTATAGCAACCGATTCATTCGTTTTGAAATTAAGTAAACGTTAAACGTTCTTCCACGCTGATATTATTACAGCGAAGAAAAGTTACTGTGCCGTACAAATATACTTTGCGAATGTCTTGTAAATACGCGTTGATAAGTGAAGGGGAATTTTTAATCGGGTGTAATCTAGCAATCAGTTAGATCACAGCATGTAATACCTGATTTGTTATAATTCCTCAGAAATTCTAATTTCGTCCACCTGTTAAATTGTGCAGTTTTATCCCTCAAAGGAAATCAAACGACACTCTCTTTCATGGCTGCAACGCAAAAAAGTTCAATCGATGAACCTGTGTACTTCCTCATTACGAGTTCCACGATCGGTTCTCTTTTAACTTAAATTTGAATCACACTGAAAATTCAGTAAAGCTTCAAAAGCTTTTTTAAAAACTCTCCTCGATTGATCTACATTCCCTGTTGAAATTGAATTTTTATAACGTATCGTAAAGATGAAAAATTCTTGCTTTGCCGACTCGATTTGCAGTATTTCCTCTGGGATCGTATAAAATATCACGCAGCTTTATTCCAATACATCAACCGTTGATGAGTGTTTTTCAGTTTTTGCAGATTATAAATATCTATATTGTACACACATAATGTACGTTAAAACAACCGATAATTTTTTCTTCAATTTGACCTGTCATACAGATTATTACTTGATCCTCGATAAATGCTTAAAAATACGAGTCATGAATTACTCTAACTTGATTCATTTTTTGGTATCTGTTGATACTCATTAATAATAACAATAAGTTCAGTTCCATTGAATAGCATGTTTGTCGTTCTCGTCCATCGTGATATTTTTCTCAGAAAAACCTAGCATAGTGGTTACTTATATTAGATAATAGATTGTACGGTTTATCAGAGTTTCTGTTAGTAGTAAAGGCTTTTTCTGGTCGATAATGTTCAATGTTCGTAGCAAGCATGCCTGCCGCAAAACTTTTTTATCGTTGACAACGTAATTAATTTTAACGATTCGTATAATGAACAATGTTCAAGTGTTCCTCTCTAGCAGCTAATCCTTTTCAAAATATCAAGATCAAAATTGACGTTATCGCCAAATCGATTTTTGAATAATGATCCATTAGAGGAAATTTTACAATTGTTAGAAAAATGTTGTGTTTTGATATTTTCAATTTCCTTGTCCCGAATAATGTGCAATAGACGTAATTAGATGACAAATCACAACTAACAGGATTCTCTGGCGGTGACAATAGTTAGTCGTGGGTAACCACATGATGGCCATAATTTAGCCATTTCATCCCATCACATCGCGTCGCGGTAACAATTTCTCACGGCCCTCGTTATTCGAGAATTATAGATTGAATTTTAGCTGACAACATGAACAGACGATACGTTATCGATGTGGATTGCACGATGTATCGGGCCGGCGACGTGCGCCGTAGGAATTTAATTATTTCTGACGAGATCCATCAGCGCGAACAGTCATCGGCGAAGGCTAATTAACGGAAAGACTTAATATGTGTTTGTTTGCTAGGTAGCTTTAAATTTTGAAATGAATGAATCGGATGCGTTTTTTAACGTTTAATTTTGATGTATAATCATAAATATATACATAATTAGTGATCATGCTAATCCATCATCATTAATTTATCAGATCTGATCGTAATCCGTATTTTAATTAAATCTATAAAAGATAAAATATCAAGTGATATATTAATTGAAAAATACACACTGATGATTGACGGAATGAAGTATTAACGATGTCATTAGCTGGTCGTATTCTTTGCACCCATTTTCTTCAAATTATAATTAAAACATGACAGATAGGTAATTATTAATGAAGACATGAATAAGAGTGATTAGGATTCGAGTTCATTGTTTGAAAAGTGTTCACTTTATCTTTTAAAGTGTTATTTTGGAATCTAACAAACTCGAGGATTATAAATCAAGTACTTAACCGGTATAATTAGGCATGATTGATTAACAAAAATATTGGAGGAAGAGGGAAAAAAAGGAAGACCAAAATCGAAAAATATTTATTTCATAATCGTCCAGTTTATTGCAAGATTAGGTTTAGATAAATCAAGAATCAGTGTAAAGCGGTGAACTTGCGAATGATATATGAGCGACAGTGCGATAAATCAACCGGTTAGCAACGAAACTTTATCTTAATTGGCTCGGGGATTCGAAGAACATGAAGGAATGGTAATAAATCACGTTTGATCCTGAATGATAATAGCTTGCACGCGCCTTCGGCAATCCTTATCTCGACGATAAATCCGGTCGTGTAGAGAAAACAAATAGGAAGCCGGGAAGGATTAAGATGGCAAATGTTTGAAAACGAGATCAGGATTTAGCGATTACACCTAATCTTTCTGACCAGATTGAATGTATTCGTCTAAAATAGAGTTTCTTGTTTATACATGCTCAGGTAGAAAATAATATTGTCATAGTTTAAGAAAATTTTAGGATCATCTTTTGCTTGAACTAACAATAAGTTAAAAACGAAATATCATCTCGTGAAAGGGTTAAATGTCGTTTTGTGAAGCATTTTTTCGCATAATCTCGTTGTAATCGATTAGTCCGTGGGAGGATTGTAATAAAATAATTAAACGATGTAATTAAATTTATTCATTATTAATAATGATGAAAAAATGCAAATATACTTGAATTAACTTCATACTTAACTGAACGGTACAAAATTTTTTTACTGCAATGTACTGATTCTCTTGTTTCCCATTCCCATTGAAAGCGGTAAATTTTACTGACGCGTTTTTCCCCATGAAAGAATAATAAAACAATCAATCCCACCTCGATATAACAGATTCCGAAATTTAATGCTCTTCTGCACGGAAGTTATTGCAAACAAATCTCCGGTCGATTTTTATTTGCCCGCTGCACGCATTCAAACAGGCGTTGGTATTTCAGGAACTGACCTAATTCAGTATGATCGATTCGCATCGCGTGTTGCATCTAGGAAGCTGACTAGCAAGAAAAAATCAAAGGTAAATCCAAAACAGTTGAGGGGGAAAAAACAGGAGAACAGAGTGCTGTTTGGCTAAATATTAATTAATTAAGAGAAACCGCAGATGCTCGTAGAAAGTCAAGCTTATTTTCAGTTATGCGGTACGTGGAGTCTGAAACACTTTTTTACCGTCCAATTTCGCGGTCCGAATGTTGGACCATTTTATCAGCCAGACAAGACTAATTCTCTCCTGCCTTGCTACTGGACTAAACTCGGAATATTAATGTTACGAAGAACCTCGAACACAGGACTGAAATTACAGTTGAATAAACATCGATATTTTTCACATTTCGAGAGCAAATAAAATTTTTATTTCGTGTACATTGCAAACGTCAAGTTTACACAAAGATAATTTGTATGTAACAAATGTTATTACAAAATATAACGTACGAAATTAAAAAGGGCTTCTGAAAAATGAAATCCAAACAGAAAATGTTGTATCATTTGAATAATATGCACTCAGCTTATGATATTTTGTATCTGTACATTTTATAAATTTAACATTATTTTATACGTTTAAATTGTCTATAAATGTATGAAAATCCACAATATCGTGACATCAAATAATTTAGGCGAAAACGTAATTCAATTAAAAAATGCATAAGAATATTAATACATATAATATATGTTCGTATAAAATAGGAAGTATGATTAAACAACCAGGTCGAAGATTCTTTACACTTTCTTCGAAAAGAGTATTATTTGATGGATGCCAATAATTTTCCTATTTCAGTGAAGATTTCAGGAAACGAGAACCCTCGCTATTTCCCGAGCTTCCGCGTTGCAAACACGGAAGCTGTCATCCAAGTAAAACACCTAAAGCAACCTGGCAACCAAAATCCAGGATGTGTACAACCCTTCGTGCACGAGTTCCGACACGGAAAAATTGCATTCGTTTTTTCTCACCAGATTACAAGTCGTTAATCAAGCACACCATGGACCATTATTCGACTTTGGTTTACCGCGCACTATCGTTCCTGAAGGATTCATATCCATTCTTTTTCGTCTGTTTACTCTTTATGTCTAACTTGTCAAACAGATAAATGCAAAAGTATGCGATGCTTAAAATTGTTCAAATTTTTCCTTAAATGCTAATCTTTCCAACGACCCGAAGAAATATGTTTTTTCTTGCTAAAGAGACACCGATAAATGTAGTAAGATTTGGAAATCAGTATTTCTTCACTTATTATTTCTTCACTGATTATTTGCAGCGACTAACAAAAAATTTGATTCGATACTGAGACGAATTTTATAATTAATTTAGTTTTTAATTATTAATTAATTAGTAAACATATATGTACATTGTCTATCTCATCTGTTTGTATATGGTGTTAAATAATTATTAACTAATAATATTTTGATTGTCGTACTACTGTTAATATTTCACTATATATACTAACAAATAAAGCGAAATCTAAAAACGTATATTTTAGCAACATGACAAATTATTCATCATATATCTTATTCTTATTAAAGCATTAAAACTTGTACCGTTTTTGAAAGATTTATATTTTCTATTCGAGTATGATAAAGAAAATCACGAGCGTCCAAAATATCTATCTTTATTGTTCTTGAGAGACATTCAATCAATTATCTTAGAATAAATAGTACAAAAACATTTTGTTTTCAGGGTGCTTTAGATATTGAGAAACAAGAGAGTATAAAAAAAAAAACACATATATCGCTCGAAACTACATAAACGATGCTTGGACTCTTATAACGTAAGTACAAACGAGTGCGCGTATGTAAATATAGTGGTAAAGCGCGAGGCAGAGCGAAACTTGCTACATATTTCAGTGATATCGGCGGGTCACGAAGCATATCGTAAACCGTGCGCGATTATTATTATATTCGATTGGCTGTCCGGTTTTATAGCCGAATGCCAGCTGAACGTTGTCGATAAGAAACGTTTGCGTCGAAATAGGAACGACAATTTTTCCTCCGACTATCGATGTCCTCGGTCATGGTTAAATCACCAATCGGCCAAAAATAAATTCGCAGTCTGCTCGACTCGAAATTACCGATAAACTCTGTTCTGAGCTTTATCCGAAGAGCGTAATTAAATACAGCGTTCAAGAGCGAGAATGTCACATTGGACGCGCTCGTGCAATCGGGTTCATTTGTTCCTACGGGGGTGAAAATCGTAAATGAATTCTAAGTAGTCTGACAGAATCTACTTAATACATCGTGGGAAGAGTGAAATGAAATCTGAAATAATTTCTGCATTTGTAAGTAGCAACTTTCAAAAATCAGTAAAGAAAGTAACCGTGCAGCTATTCGAATATACCTCGAATACATTGACATTCAGTAACTTCGAATCACATCCACAAATAAAAATCTATTTTATCCTGGACGTAAAGTACAGGACATGCAGAACAGAATGAAAGACACTGAAAAGGGAGAATTTTACCCCGGTAAGAAGCAAAAGACAACCGATTTATCGTATTCTACATACTACGTAGCTTACCTAAATATAAACTTACGTGCTAATAAGGCCCGTGGTGTAGGTAATCAGAGTAACTTATCGATTATCACTGCGACAGCGCTCGTTAAACCGCGGGTAATCGTTTCTTTTTCATTTTATTTTGGCAGGAATCAGGATCACGAGGCTGTCTTCTCTTCATTGACAAAAATAAAATCTAGATTATCTATAAAACGTCCCGGTATAATCTCGGTCGGACTTAACGTTAATTTAAAACGACCCTACGTTAAAATTACGAGTACGAAACTAGACATTCATTGTTTACTTCCTTTCACTTTGTTCTTCTCGGTTTTATTTTGCTTCGAGCTCTTTCACGATCAAAATGAGATCAATTATTGAATTAGATCAGTAAATTCGCGTTTACATCGCAAAAAAGGGTTTTGATCGATGAACTTTACGAAAGTAACTTTCTCAGTCTTTGTCATGTTAAATAATCAATACGAAAATTAAAAAAAGAAAGACACGATAAAGAAGCAGAAACAAAAGATAGCCAATTTGTAGATTCGTTCGTTGATATCAGAAACTGTGAGACAAGAAAACGGAATCGACTTTTTTTACGATCCGGTGCGCACACGCGTACAGAAACATGTTTCCATGAAATAAAAAGTACGTTCGTTGACGGAACCCGCGAAATCTGTTTCAATAGCGAAACCGGGATCATCGAAATGATCTCGCTTCGTTTCGAACTCATCGAAAATCGCGTATTTCTGTCATCGAATCTGTCTTTGATTTATTCAAAAACGAAAAAATATTTCTAATCGCGACTGAAAACCCTCCTGTACGTTTAAAAAAGGAGAAACGCACGGGGAGCGTAAATCGATCCGGCGTGCTTTGCAAAAAAAAAAGCGAAACACAGTCAAGGGGAAGTTAAATTTTAAGCAACGCGTTGTACAAGAAGATCAATTTCCCGGTATCGGTTGTGTACATCAGTTTATATCGTCTGCTAGTCATCTTATCGATCAGTGTTTTCGTCTCGATCTCACTGTGGTGAGGGCTCCAACGGATGGACACCACAGATATTCTAGTCGTCTCCCATGGAATCGTGTCTAACACCTGAATCACAAACGAATGTAGTTAAAATAAATCTCTTTGTTCCAGACACTCTTCAAAGAATAATGAGGATATGAACAGGATCATAAAAGAAGTTTTGTGAAGAAAGTTTCTTATAAAAAGAAACAAATGAATATATCTCGAATTTAGTCTTGTAATTAAAAAGTTTATGAAATGCGACAATAGTGTTGGATCATCAAAAAATTTCTAACTTTTTGTTATCAATTAGTGTTAGCAATTAGTAAAGCCAAAGCCTATGTAATATGTATAGTAGCTACGATGTAACAAAACTTTTATATTAATAGCGTAGGAAAAGACACTTAAAATAAAAAAAATAAAAAAAATGGGACTCTAGAGTATAAAATTCTATAAAAATTTTTGACGAAATCGATAGTTACCTGACCGTCCTGTGTGTCCGGACTGTCCAGGCTTAGATAATCCAGGCTAGTTGCACTGTACGCTAAAAGTACACTGTACAAAGGGAAGCATTTCAATCGCGTGGTCGGTAGACCCTCATCCGACGACACCAGACTGTTCGGGCCCTCGCCTAACTTGGTAACTTGAACTTCCGATTCTTGGTGATAAGTAATCTGAAAATTGAACGAAACCCGCATCGCAAGCTAAGTATCATTACATCACAATTAACAGCAGTTTATCTGATTGTCAGTTAGCAGATTACGTGTCAAACTATACCGACCTCTTTGGTATCCTTATCGGTGCTGAGGCAGGCGTGAAGAACCCTGGTCCTTGGATTCCTGGTGCTTCTGTGAGCTTCGAAGAAGCTTCTGGGATCAGTCAAAACCAGAACGCCTCTCCAACTCAAATTACGTTCTAGCCAACCCGTGCTAGAAATGGCACCTATCTGTAAAATAAATTATTCACGTATTTTTAATTATTTTTTTTTATATCTAATTAACAGTTTTATATTCTAATAAATTCTAAAATCTAATTCTAAAAAATAGAAACTGCTTCAATAAATCAGGGTCGAATGTAAACGCTACGCTTTATCGTTGATCAAATTAGTAGGTGAAAGTGAGCCTATAATGCTCACGTTTAATAGGATCAAAACTTAAAGTCTCTTACCCTGCTTATATACTCCACGTAGACACCCTCGCGTTTCCCTTCTGTTAGGCTGGCCACATATTTTTCTTCCATGGTCTGAGTGGCATTCAATGGATCTTGTTGAGTAGTAGGCTTCAATTGTACCTCTCTGATGTACGCGATCAATTCCGGATTGTCCATCGAGACGCTGTTCAACACGTAGTCCCTGGTCATGTTGGCATCGAACGCCTGTCTCCTGTAACGTAATATCTACTTTAATGTTTGCATGCGTGTACACGTACGCGTCGAATGAATGGACTCTTATTAAAGCTTTTGTAGGCGTTTTAAAGGCGTTTGTGTTTGTACAGGTAACACTCGTGATGATTAGCCTGAAGTTCCTGGATTAGGTCGTTAGCTAATGAGCATTGTATACATGCGTTAGAATTAAAAAGAATAGAAAGAATCAAGAGAATCTGAATCTAAATGAAATAAGAGACGAACAAATTTTTGCCTCAAGTTTGGTTCGCAAAAGAATGGAAAGAATCAAGAGAATCTGAATCTAAATGAAATAAGAGACGAACAAAGTTTTGTCTGAAGTTTGGTTCGCAAAAGAATGGAAAAAATCAAGAGAATTTGAATGTAAATGAAATAAGAAACGAACGAATTTTTGCCTGAAGTTTGGTTCGCAAAGTTTATTCTATAGATTAATGAGTAGCAGTCTACTTAAAAGATGGTGGCGAAATAAGGGCATCACAAAATTGAACAAAAATATGGATTTACAAGACTATATTTCTCGTTCTTATATAAAAAGATGATGTTTTATTCGTCAGGTATCTCTTTGGAAAGAGGAAAGTTAAATCCGTACACTGTAATTGAACTGGATGATAAAATAGAGAGAAACTGTTATAGACAATATTGGAGATGGAATTAATACTTGTAGATGATTGTTGATAATAATCTCTTTAGGCGTCTGTCGTTAATGTTCTTGTTGAGAGATCACCGAGTCGAGAAGCCTTTGTCACAAGCGCGCGAGAGAACAGATAATTATTGGGTGACCTAGTAATTAACTCTGCTTAGCAATCGTGTTTCTTTAACGCGACTAAGAGGAATAAGGGAACTGAACACGGATCTCGCAATTAGAAAATAAGTGACTGTTTCTTCTCTCCTCTTCCGCCTCTTTCTCTCTGGTGGCATTTAACAATATACAAAGACGAGCAATTAAATTAGTCTGCTTGAGGAATATGTATAACACACATACTATCCCTAATCCTTATCTAACTAAGCTCGTTGAATTACTTTTCAAAGTCAAGCATTGTTAATTTTCCATCACTTCCAGAATTAAATAATGGTAAGCACCACTTTCGCATTTTCACCAAGCTCGGATTAATTTAAACTAATTTTTGAAAACCTAAAATAAATCTATCTCTAAAAGATTTATTATTAAGAATATTTAAATAATTTGCAATTATTCTTCGTGGAAAATGTAATTAAAGTTTTGGTGTTGGGAACGTTTAATGTCAAGTTAATCGGAGCTTAGTGAAAATGGTCCTGAGTGATGCAGAAATATCCATTACATTCGTATGGTTATCAAACAAATGAATCTCGAACGACAGAAATAACTAACGAGATAAATAATTCAAGTCCTCCATCAATCAAACGTTAATAACAATTCATACACGATTGTTATCAATAGATCAAATTCTTTCAGCAAAAATAAAGTTAGATAGTACTTTTTCGCAAATTCCGATCAGAAACCGCGATCAAATATTTGATTTGATTTTCTATGATACCCGACACGATAAGGCGAACAGAACGAGCTTGAAAATTTGGAAACGGTGCGGCAATTGAAAAAGGTTGATTGCACGTTTCCGATGTCACAAACAACGGTTAATTGAAATCGATCGTATCGTTTACAATTTTCCGTTTGCATTTCTCTGATTGCCCTATATTGAAGCAACGTTCCATCGCGTACGTTCTCTACCGTAAAAAAATGAAGTGTAGAGAGGAACAAAAAAAAAAGCAATATAAATGACAAGATCCGCCTAATTACTTATTTAAAGTCCCATTATACTGTAGACTCTCTGTTAATGCAAGGGATCGCGTATGAAAGGCTAAAGTAAAACAAAAGGAACGATGAAGAGAGGAAGATAAACGTAATGACTGCTTTAGAAGCGTCAGAGAGTCTGCTGTTTTACGAGACTATAAAATTTTACGTTCCCGCGCACTGAATTGAAGGACGCTCTAACTTTCAGTGTCTCACGACGCATCGTTTTTTTTCCGATAAACTTACATATACATATACAGTTGTGAAGAAAATCGAACCAGACATGAAACATTACTATCCAAGCTTACAGACATTTATCGAACTCGGAATTAATCAGTTTACTTTAGTAATAAGTACTGAGGAGGATGAAAAACGTCAACTATTATTATCGATTAATTTTAATTTATAACGTTTTACCTCAAGGCCGCAGCCTCGCTCCAGACAAGAAGCAAGGCCATGGCTGTGGAAAAAGCGGCGAGGAAGGCTAGGCAGGGGGCCACTCTCCTCCACCAGCTTTTCTTATAGTTCGTCATCGTGGTCCCTGACAGCGTGGAGCCCGCGGGTGGTTGCAGGACGCCGTTCACTGGGGGGATCCCGGCGGGGGCCATTCTGCAAACACAAAATCGTCTCTTGTCAACAAAACTCTGAAAATCTTCTATCATGTTTATATATGCATTCGGTTCAAATCATGTACATATTGAACTACCGCGTACTGAAATTGAATTAAACTGAAAAAATGGTACAACTGTAAAATATTCAACGCAAAGTTCAGGATAAATCAATAAAAATCACTTTACGTCTTGATAAAGTCAAAGTGAATTCAAATTAAGCACATCGTACGCGTTACATACATATATGCTTCATCCCTTTTTCATTTCCCATACGCAAGCAACGTATATACGTCGCGTCTGGCATTTCACGCGACGCACCGTGCCTTGAATAAAGTTATTAGAATATAAACACAAACCCAATTGCGTCCTTGCATAATGCAAACTGTAATCAATGTGAGCGCGCTAAGCGATTATGTGCCGCTACAATAATACCTCTGCATAAAAGGATAGTATGCGGATTCATTGCTATTCTCTGTATTAAATATTATATGCATACACGCAGAATAATATTATACGGGAACGAACCTGAATCCAAACCGGTCAGCCACAACATAATCCTTCTTACGTTCACCGAGTGAATAACTAAACTTTCACACGATGCAATAACGCAACTGTATCTTAACTGATGCAACCACTTTTCTTGTCTGCCATGCGACCCCATTTTCCGTGTTCGATCCGAACGATAGCACGACGTAATCTTGTTATGACTTTGATGTAGATATCGTACTCTGGATTCAATCGTTAGTCGCGAGAAAATGATAATCGACAGATTGCGCGCGGAGGAAAAGTTGAACAGATGATCAGAATGGAAGAAGTGATTTATCAAAGGAAATTGATTCATGGATGAGGACAATTGCGAGAATCAGAAGGGATGAAAGCAACGATGCAAGCTCGGTTACGGGCGAAAGCACATTTTTCACTCGCGAGCTTTTCTCATTACGTTTTCTGCATAATGCATTTCTCGTTTCGTTTGCGTTATCGTTCCCGGGCTCCCGTTTCGTAAGCTCAATTTTTTGTTCGTGAGAAATACTAGACTGGAGGGAATAATTTGAGAAGGAACGCTGCCCAGTGTCACAATTATTTTCGTTGCACTACAATAATGCGAGAACGGTGTATCCTATACATAATCTACTTGCGGGTAATGAAATGAAAGCTTAATGAGAAAAAGTAGCATGTAAACGTTCTGGTTATTGGTATTCTACTCCTCTTTTTGGCTTTTCGGCGAGTTACATAGAATAGAGCTTGAGAAGCTGAATGAAAGAGAAGCGCAAAAGAGGATAACGTGCTCATGTACTTTCCATTGAGAAAATGCAAAACCACGAGGCCTAGACGTTCTACATTCAAGGGGAAACGTAGATGCACGAGTGTAGGCGAACGCTTTCTAAAAGCGATTTTTTACAATCAAACAGGATTTCCGCGTGCTTGCTTGCACAGAAAATTCGAGGGGCTAACGATCAGATATTTCTGTGCAAATACGTTTCAAAAGGCTTTATTATTAAAAAGCTTTACTCACGCGATACATACTGCATTTCTCTAGATATAATCACAATCAGCAATAAACTGTTTTATAAGAACAAAAAATTTGTGATTCTTTTTCATTATTATTTATTTTATCATAAGATTTATATTAGATTGCACGTTCTGTCGCAGCTTAATTTTCTCAAGAATAGCCAAGATATTACCACGCATTCCGCGCGTTAAACGCTCTTTAAATTAAACGACCCAATTGGTGTTGCTTAAAACCTTTTCGCTCGTACCGTATGGCATATGGCACACGAACGAGGTATTACATTTTCGAAATTCTTATGCAGTCATAATGAACTGCGAGATATATTTTTATTCTTAAATGTTTCACGAATGTCTTTTACTCGGGCGAAAAGCTTTTTTGACATGACCTATTTGGTTTAGAAATCATGAAGCGTGGTATATTTCTTGCAAGTTAGTATGCATACATATATATCGTGGAAAATGGGAATTGTACGTTTACGATGAAAATTGAAATAGTTTCGCGACTGTTCCTAACTCTGCCTTTACGTACACAAAAGTCTAAATGCATGAATGGTGTTGCACAACACGTAACTACTAGCATTATTCAAGTAAATCCTGTTCATACATATAATAATTATAAACATTTATTTTCAACGATGAATTTTCATTGTGTATTGATAAATTTTCACATTTTTATACCTGCACCGCAATGTAAACTTTTTGGATCACGCGTGGGTGAACGGAAAAATGATAACGTCTATCGAGGACTTCCACACTGTTTCGTGGCACGAGTCACGATAAGGAAAACTAAAAACAAGGACTAAATCATCTCGCTATTAGAGACGCTTTAAAAATAGGAATAAACTCAGCAGAAATGCATATACTGTTTAAATTTAAGACAAATTCAAGCATAAATTAAGTTATATATTGTACTTATAGTAAAGAGCAAAAGTGAAACATCACCCTTTAAAACTGAATAACATTTTTAAAATCGAATCACGTAAAATGGTATATATATTTTTTGTTCATAATAGCCCATTCCGTATTTACATTTTTAATATTAAAATAGCACTGTACCTCGTCGAACTACAATATATCGAAAATTAAGAATTCGTGAATATTTACAAATGAGAAAGCGACGCTTCAGGCAAAGTTGTTCGGGCACAGTATTGGTAAACTCCGATCCCATTCATAGGGCTTCGCGGTTAACCACGCGCGAAACGATAAGCGGTGTATCAACAGTGCATAGTAAAAACGAATTTAGTGATTCGCCAAAGAAGTCCTATAAATCTGTAGTATACATACATCACAAAAGGCGCACGCTGCACCATTCGTCACAGAGATAACTTCGAAAAGAAAACGACCCATCCATCTGTGAGGAAACCGTAGTCGGTTTAACGTGTGACAAAAGAAAAACGAAAAGATTAAGACAGAAACTCTTCGTTTGAAATTAGAAAATCCGTTTAACCAAAATGAAAGCAAAATCATGGAGAACTAATAAATGTATGAATTGTAATTCCCATTACCAAACTGCAGAGTTTATACATTTATACTAAAATTGTCTCTGTGAAAATGTAAAATATGCATATAATAATAATAACATCCAAGATGTAGGATCAAAAGTGAAGTGCACTTTCTAGAGTGACGTAACAAATGTTTTACTTTTCAGAAAAATCCACAGTCTATCCATTAGAGATCTAAGGATGTATCTTTCATTTGTTATCTAATAAATGCAATAATGCTTTTAGTATTCACTGCAAACTGCTCTGGAGGAAAGGAAGAAGTGTATAATTGCGTCCGAGCAAATTCGAGAAGAACCTCGAACTCAATATTGGAATAATTAATCACCAAGTAAATGAAAGGAAAACAACGAAAAATAATTGTGCACTTTTCACTAGCTACCATAAAGCTTCGTGCTTATGGAGGAAAAGAAGAGAGAGGACACGTAATCCTTGTGATCCTTTCACCTAAGAAAATAAATACATAGTAACACAGTCGATAAAGCAACTCTAAACATTTGCAATTTCCTCATAAATGTGTCAGTGAAAATGCGGTAGCTTTCTACGATATTGGCCTCCGTGTCAGTCACAAAACCGATGCCACACATGTATATGAACAATCTCATACACAGTAGCTCTGTACTGAATTTAAACAATGAAGGTGAGTTAGAAAGAAAAACTGAAGTATCAAATGTTTGCATTGTGAAACAAACTGAAACTTTCTGAATTGCTCTTTAGAAATTACATGTTTGAAGTTCGAATGTACATATACATACATACATTATGTACGCATCTGCGCATGTATAGAATGAGAACTTTGTGGCGCGTTTCATTTCGCTACTAACAATTGCAATAATTGATAAGTATAACTATCAAAATACTATCAACGAACCAATTATTGCAATGATTGCAAATGTTCGTATAACTTACACATACATACATGGACATGTATATCAAAGATTCATATGGCTTTACTATACAACGTACGATTAGCAACACGTATACATACTTGGCTTTCATGGGCTCCATGCCGGTCCAGAATAATTCGCCTGGCGGAAAGGAAGTTTCGATAATGTACAACATTCACGTGGCTCGTTTCGCATCCACGTTCGTGACGCGATCATCGCCCGGAAGACATCGGCCAAGGCTGTTTCACCAAGCCGACCTCCTGCACATCCTCTCGTTGTCTACTCCTCTTCGAGCGGACACTGCACTCAGCTGGAGCGGCGGCGATGGCGTATGTGCATGCGTTACGTGTTTTCCTTTCTAGAAAGCCGGCAACAATAAAAGCGGCGTTGCTCCGAACGGGAACGTTCGCTTCGTGTCTTTCCAAATCTATCTGTTTCTTTATCTTCGTTAGTAATTCGCAATCCTGTCTTTTTTTCTCCAAATACACGAAATCCAAGTCTTCTCATCAACCTTTGCCGAGTCACAAGTTCCTCGATCTTTTCTATTTCACTTCTTCAAATTCGTGTGTTGCGGACAATCATTTACGCACTACTGTTCCGGAACGAAGAATCACGCAAACAGAGAGTATCGAAATGTATTGCTGTGGATCGTTAGAAATCAGCCCTTAAATTCTGCTCCGGAGTAAGGGAACAAAGCTTTCCTCAGAGCGGTTCGTGCGAGCGTATCGACGAGCGTCCGGCGTCGATCGGCTCCGAAGCGTCGAGGTCGAAGGAGCCACGAGAACAAAGGGAACGAGGAGAACGGCGCGTAACCGGAGTCTCTATATTATGTAGTACGGAACTCGTACAGAGTCTACGTCTACACGAACGAAAGTTGATTAGCACAACAGCGGTGTTGTGCGGTAAGCAAGTACGGGAAGCGTCGAGCGTGTGTTGTCGTCGAATGTCGCACGTGTCGCACTGCAGAGCGACACACAATTCACAGCACGACCGTTCCTGCCGCTTCTTCCCTCCTTCTTTACTTTTCTTCCTTTCTCCACTTGGCTCTCTTTTCCCCTTTTTATTCGTACTTTCTCTCTTCTACGCCGACGTCGACGATGCTCCGTCCTCCAACGCTCGCGCTCACGCGACTTTCTGGCTTGGCTACCAGCGCAGACACACGACGACCACGAAGCGACTACGACTGCGATGACGATGGACGACGGGCCGAAGCCCGTCCCGTTCTTCTTCTGTCTTCTCTCCCGCCTCTTGGTTCAAAGGGGAACACGCGTCGCGTGTGTTTAGCAAGGCCCGTTGCCACGGTGAAGGGAAAAACGCAAAAACGCGTATGTATATGCCTCGTCCCGTGGCGAGAAGCCGACTGCCCTCCAGCACCTGGAACGGCCGATGCTAGTATAACAGGGTACAATGCCTCCTGTATCGAATGTCCTTCTTTTAACACCGGCTCCGGCATTTGCCTCCTTGTCTATCCTCTTCAACCTCGTCCCTCTCACTCGCTTTTACGAGGACATTCCGTGCTCACCGTTCTCCTATTAACCGCCAGGTAGATCCCAGTGACTCTCAAACACCTATTCACCTATGCGAGGTATGCCTGCTTAGTGTTCCAACCCTATGTTTCAACCCCGCTTAAAGTACTGCTTGCCACTGACTTGGCATCGACTCAAACAATGCATTATCTTTCTTACCTTTCTTACCCATAATCAATCTTTCTCTTTCGTCAATGAACAAAATGTTCCTACGTCTATTTCAAATAAATAATAAAAGTGACAAAGAAGGGAGTCAGTTTGAACAATACACTAAGATCTGAAATATTTATAATAATCGCTTTGTGAGTCTTAACAATAAGCGTGAACTCGCTGTGGCGCGACGCGCAAGCTGCGGAGTCACGCTGCCTTTTCCCTTGTTCCAAGGGGTAGCAACTACAGCTTATAGCGAAAGAACACGGCAGCGCGGGTCTCTTGGTTGGTCATCGTTACTCTATGCCACGTTCTACGTACGTCCGGTAGCGTTGTAAAAGCGTTATCGATCCTACGACTCGTGCCCGCCTTTGTGTTCCACGCTACAGACCGGAATCCCAACCGCAGACGAGAATCGAACACCGAGTTTCTTAATTGAATGGATAGCGGCCTTATGTCGTGACTTTCCGAACGATCGCTCGATGTTCAAATGTGGAAGCACCAACAAGGAAATGCGAAGTGGCGAATTCTTCTTTAACCATTTTAAACTTGTTGCTTTATTTAACCATTATTCGTTGCTATTTCTTTTAGAAATCTTGAAAATCATATTAAGGATTCCAGTATTTTGTATTCTTAAAAAGGTTAATAAATCTGAAGACCGTTCTCGACGGGAAAATAACTTACGATGATAAATGAATAGCAATATAGTTAAATCTCCCTTTATAAACCCATTATGCGAACATTGAACATTCTATTAGATGTCGGGAAGTGTTTTTTCTAAAAGAAAGTTTTTTCAAAAAGATTTTTTCTAAAACGTGATTCTTGGAAAAATTTCTCAAACTTTTTCCCATATTTAATATTATATGAGGTGACTTAATATTACAAAGAGATACCTAATATTATTTGAAACAAAATTGCAAAGTGTTGGTTTTATAGTTAATGTAGAAAATTATTTATAAACAAACTCTTATGTGAACACATTTATAAGTTATTAATTTGCATTTCGGTTCTCCATATCCACTCAATGTTCGTCCAGACAATCCGAAGGCATTCGACGGAAACAAAAAATCGTTGTAAGTTTTCCACCGGCTACTTACATTCTTCTCCCTGCGAAACAAAATGGTTTCATGAAAAATACAATGAAATATTTCATTGTCTACCCATAAAAATGGGACGCTTAAAACCGTAATTACCAGCGTTATTTTTTGCATCGTTATGGGAAGAGTCATGTTCTTTCTTTAAGTCCAAAGGCTCCGCGAAGAGATCTAGTACTGCAATTTCTCTCCGAGAAGCTTTTACAACGAGTCACAGTAACGTGATAATGGTTAAATGTTAAAATAGCGTTACAAAAATGTGAAGAAAACAGCGGCCCAATGGCGATAGTTATGATGATCATGGTCACTCGCTTTTATCTACTTTCATTAAAAGCGTAAACTTTTGGGATTTATTGTATAGCCAATACATCCTTAAGATGTCTGGCTCTTACACTCTTCTCATCACGAATCGTAGCTGTTGTTACCACTTCCTTTTACGTACACGCGCGGCTGGACAAGCCAAGTTCCCAGCAAGCCAATCCTAATTCGCGTTCTTCATCACTCACACTACAGGGTTCGTATAATTTTTCCTTCGGCCGGAAAGTGGGGACGACGCGACCATGGTAGGGACTGGTACTTGATGGGGATATGCTAGGCATGATCAGCGAAGACGCATGAGGAGAATAGTAGTGGGGATCGAAATACGGGCGAAAAAGAGAGGAAGCGAGCCGTACAGGAAAAATTATACGAACCCTGTCACACTATCACTCGCTATCGAGTCGCGGAATGTCTCGACTCTTTCCACCTTTCACTTCGCACGGTCGTTATTTTAGCGTTCAAGTTGAAACAGCGCGCGACTTTTCCTCTTCGATGTTTACGAACTCGCGCGCTTCAGCCCCTTTTTGATCGGCTCGATGAACATCGGCTTTTGTAAGCTTGAGTCACCTCTTTCAAGCGATTAGGTTGTTATATGAAATGACTCTATGTTCTATTTTTTGTTTTAAAAATGTAAATTCATTCTCAAATCGTATGAATGAAAAGATTTAATTGTAAAGGATAGTAAAACGTGAATTTTTAATTACTTAACTGCGAATTTTTTCGCAAAATAATATTTGTTAAAATATATTTTATGGAACGTAATACATTTACACAGATTTTATATATTATTTTAAGTATTTATGTTATGCACATTTTATGTAATTGCATAAAAGTTCACAGTCTACTAATTGCATATAAATTTCGACAGCCCTCTTCTATATTGATTTTCAAAATAATGGTAGCAATTTCTAAAACGCAGGGTATAAACGTTCCAGCACAAGGATACTCAGGAGATTTCTATTTTAGATACTAGCCTGGGCCAAGAAATTATTTACGGCGGCCGTTCTTATTTGTTTACACAGTGTGGAATTGGCGAAGGCGAAGGTGCTTCTCACGGTTAATTTAGAATAGTCTCGTGAAAAATGATCTTGATCGAAATAAAGCCCCGCGAGAATCGATAAAAATGTTCCATTCGGAATGCATAAACGCCCACGTTTCCTCACGACCACGACTTGATGGATTCGCTTTTAGCTCGTAGGGTGCAGGGAATAGCAGCTTTTAACGATAAGAATGTGTTTTTGTTCAATTTAAATAGGAGGCCATTTATCAACGCGATATTACTTGACGGGCTAAGAAGAATCACGATAATCTCAACCAACGCAACGTCTGTGTTTAAATTGAAGTATGCAGATGAATTCTGAAAAAAATATTCAGCATTATAAGAGCAGGCGAATTTCTGGAAAAGTGTATCTCAGAAGTCATTACTATACTTAAACTGTGGTATTCATACAACCTACATCATTTATGGTATTGATTAAAAAAATGCATTTTAAGTAAACATTTATTTTATTATTTAAACATTACAATGTGCATTTAACTTTTAATATTTTGTCTATTTTTGTTCGAAGTCTTCTTCGTGTCTCCGACAGATACAATTTTTCAATAAATAATAAATGCATCAAATTCATGGTCTATTCATTAGAATCCTTATTCGAATTTTGTACTTTTCTATAAGCTTGTGTTTTACAGCAGCTTTAAAAACGTCCTGGCAACGTTCGTTATTATTGGACGTACTAAATTCTGAAACGGTTCTTTTAAAATCGAATAAAATGCGAATTTATAACGCATGGTCGTATTGTTCGCCATTTATTAATATCTTTCACCAAATCCCGTCGATGAGTCTTCAGACTCATCTATCATATTGCCGAGAAGAAAAAACACATATCGATCATTTAGAAAACCGCGCAGGTGATTTTGCTAGTATGAAAGTATCACCTCCTATGAACGAATTGTTACCGACACGCAACCGCTTTTTATATTACATCCTTCACCTTTTCCTCAATAACACTCTCTTATTGCTTTCATTATACAGCGTAAATGCAATGAATATTCAACATTATCAGTCTGTCAGTTAAATGCCTTGAATTTTTAACTAAGGTATAGATTTTATATCCTGACGAATACAATGACATAATAATATATGATAGAAGATAATAATTCATGTACCAATATTTGAACTCGATTGCAATGCAAATGAATTCTAACTAAAATTCGAATTGAAATCACAGTTAGAAGCTAGCTACCATGCAGTTTATTTTAGAGTTCATGAATCTTTCTAAAACATATTATTTGAATAGACATGAAGAAAAATTCTTATATTTCAAGTTTTACTGCATTAATTTTAATAAAACACGACTCACATTAAAGATAGAAGTTCCACAAATATAGACAGAAGCTATAACATTATTATACTGCATAATGAGTAAGTAGTCCACTCTTTCCATCTAGGAGAATTTAATTTTTGGATCTCTGTGTGTGTATGTTTGTGTTCGCTCGCATGCATGCCAAGTAAATCGTTCTGGTTAACTGTACCGCGTCTCATTGTTCCTGTATCCTCAAAATCTTCCACGGATCGATCACCACGATCACACGTACGGAATTCGACGATAATTCATTCGCGCTTGCACGCACGTAAAGCGGCGAGCATCGCGTCGCGACGCTTCGTGGGCGGGCATCGCGGCGCAGACGCCGCCGGTATACATACAAACACACATAACTGCTTGCACGAGCGTCGTCGTTCCGTTGAACCGTCAACGAAACCGTCGACACCAGTCGACACTCGTGCGGCGACCGCGACCGCGAATACACGAACTTCTGCTCCGTAATCCGCGCGCGTTTTGCGGCTCCTTGGTCGCTTCTCTCCGTTCCCGATGCTCCAAGTCGTGCTAAAATACCACGAGGATTTTCGTGCGATTTCTCATAATGATATGAAGATACTGCTGAAATATGCACATCGTTGTGACTGTCACTTGGAGGAAGATATAAAATCTTCTGCGAAAAGCCAATAAAACCTAATTTGAGTTATTTAGTAAATAAAGCAGTGAGTGAATTGTTTATCATGTGATGTTACAGGCTACTGAACGATTCAAATTGATAATTAAGAATGAATAAATGAAGGGTGATATTGTCTGACCAGTTAAAGAAAGCATAAATTCTTCTATAAGAACTGCTCGCGGTTATGATAAAGATGTGATAAATGGAATAGTGAGTGGATAATTATTTTTGTTATAAAATCGAATGACTGAAATTATTGCTTGAGAGTGTTTTAGTAATGAGTCAACTTGACGAAGCGTGCGAGAAAAATTTCGAATTCTAATCCGCGGCTGAAAGTGCCTGAACTCTTCAATAATGAAGTAAGTTTAAAAGTTAACGTCAACTATGAATATAAGTGAACATAATTTGCTTGGCATTTGTATAGGGATTAACGCACGTGTATGAAATTTCTATTTCTGCATCAATCAACATAAAACTGTGTCTGTTTATACCAAGAATTATATCCACAATTAGTCATGCTATTTCGTTTATGTGTACATACATATACAGTGAGTAAGACTATTTTTGACTTACTCCATTCCAATCTTCACTTCATTGGTACTGGTATTTCGTATTTTATGTTTACCCTTGTTGTTCGCGATCGAATCGATCAGTCGATTTTCCCCAGAGCCTTGAATGAGGTCATTACTGTTGCAATGTCGAAAAATTGCATCCTCCAGAGCATTAAATTCGCATACATCGAACGGCTCGCTTAATATCGCGTTACCAAGAATTACAATTCACGATATAATCAACTGATTCTGTCACATCATTCCCATTGAAAATTTACATCGCATTATCATAATATCATCAAATCGGGGAATGAAACGCGCGTTATTTGAATATTCTCGTTAACTATACTACAGTAAGTGCACGAACATGCTACTTCTCATCGTTATTGTCGAATCCTACACGCGCCGCTTTATAATACGAAGAGTACGGCGATGCCGCGACGAAGGAAAGAATATTGCCACGTGAAACAAAGTTTCATTCCCGAAGCTTTATGAGAAATACTCCGTAATGCATTTTCCATGAAATAAAAACGACTTAAGCATTTAACGATGTTAAGGGGTCTCTCGCTTCTGCTTGTATCGCGCGATAAAAAGTAGAAATGGTAGACACTGTGAAAAGAGGTAATATATATAACGAGTAACTTTTTAAGGAAACTTGTATTACTTACTTCATCATGTACATTGTACTTTTCTCCAACTATATAGATCACTAGTATTCTCTGTCACGACTTCGCTTGAAGTACTTCTGTTTCAGTGAAAAGTGCTAGAATTCATTTTTTATTGATGTAGCTATTTGTAAACGACATTTGTGACTCTTCCCATAGGTGCTAAGGTCGTTAAACTGCTTGCTTAGCTCACTTTGATACAACTTACATACAACTGGGACATAAGAAAGTTAAGGAAATTCTTAAAAATACATTTCACTCTATTTCACCCCTTTAAGGGTGCAATTCCGAAAAATGGAGAAATTAATCTTTACACATTTTTGCAAGCAGAAACTAAGTTCACATCTCATATTGTATAAGAGAAATAACGACATTCGTAAAATTTCAGTTTATCTCCTTCCATAAATCTTAAGAATGAGAATTCGAAAAATTCAGAACTTTTTCGTAGTATTTTTATACGATGAAATTTTGGCACCAAAACGAATTTTCTCTCTCATCACGTTAAAAAGTTATTGCAATACCAAGAAAAACTCGGGATTTCTAAAAATCCTACTTTTGCAAGCACCTACAGCATGGTAGAAAACTGCCCTCAAAGTTTTAAATAGATCTGTACGACAGTTTTTACGTCAATTGATAAGTGAGTCAGTTCGGAAGCTGTTTTATATAAATTACCATTCATGTTAAATCATAAAAAGTTTGATATACATATACTTGAATCTGTGGTATTTAAATAGATGGATGAGGCGGTATTAAAATTCTAAACAAAAATGGTAATATTTTCTTCAATCGATGAATGGAACTTGCATAAATAACTCATAAAAACAAATTTGACACATTTATTTAGTTATCCATGAATAACAAGTAGATGAGAAATTGAACAAATGTTTAAAAAAAGAGAATATTGTAGTATGCACAATATTGGCACTGCAACGAAAGAAAAGTAGATACTATATAGTGTTTCGCATCGATTACACTTTTTTTTTTAACTCGGGTTTCCAAAAAATCGCAACGCGCGAGTTTTAATGTCATTTAACAAATACCTAGAATCGCTTCGACTTTGATCTTTCAAACATTTCGTTTTCAAACAGTTTTAAAAGAGTAAAACACGATTCGAAAACAGAAAGTGTAGAAATAATAGCCAAAGACATAACAATAACTGTGAACAAAGCGGGAATCGTAAACAAATTTAATTTCTTCACAATAATGGAAATTCAACAGCGAATAATAACACTAATAATATACGTACATGCATATACATATCAGAATGAAACATGGGACAAAAGCAGAAAACAATACTGGATTACGTTCTATAATGGTAGACAGTATACATCGCTTTCTAGAAAAGAAAATAACATACACCTACGTATGATATGCTTCTTTTAGCCGGCTGGGACATTCCACGTAATAGTCGCCAAATAAAGGAGGAAATGCCATCAAAACTCATAATAGTGGACTCGATATTTTTCTAAACCAATAAAACTTAAGAATGTCTCAACTAGCGAACGGGGTCAAAAACAATAGCGAACACGTTACTGACTTTTATTGTATTACTTCAGCACAAGACACGCCTGATATTTTATTATATTAAATTTGTCCATATAAAATCTCATTTTCTGCAAACATAATAGATGTAGTTCTTCTAGAATACTATACATATTTAAATAATTTATTAGTTACTTTTATAATCTGCTAAACATTTTCATTATCTTGTATAATGATTATCTAAATCCTAGATCGTGAATATTGAAACCTGTAAATTCTTTGGATGTTAGTGTATATTACGAGTAATTTGTTTCATCGTTATCAGATTTGATTTGACTGACTTTTATAACAATCGTATTTCAAAATTACAATTATAAAAGGACCCAGTGTTTTACTTACATCGTATTGGTTAATAATAATGTACACTAACTCATTGCATTTTAATCGAACATAAGTACAGACCCATCGTCACTAATGGTTAACAGCGAGCGATTTTGACGGTCAAAATACAATCAGTCGGTAATACGTTGCAATATTATCTAGTAAAATTGCAATGTGAAGTATAAATTATTTCGAATCAAATTATTATTAATATATTTGTATATATCGCATAATAAAATATCCCCTGTTTAGTTTGGTTCATAATAGTAGATAATGAAGAAAAACATGATAGATGTTTGACTAGAAAATCTAAATTTTGAAAAACGAAACAACGTTTTATATGCACCAATTTGATAGTATACTCTGTAATGTACAGAGCTTGAGGTGAGATTAGTACAAATGTACAACTATTGTAAGCAGTGAGGCATTTGTCAGTTGTCACAAGTTGTTATTCCGCGCTTCCAGTTTTTCCATTCTGTTCCGGTCTCGACAGTACGTAGTTATTTGTGTCTGTAGCTTCACACCCATTTCAATCTTCATGAAAACCCTTTTATGAGAATACGTTTAATGAATAGTCGAAGACAAAAAGAGTAAAATAAGGAAAGAGATAATAATAGAGCAAAGAAAACTGTGTTGAATTGAAGGGATTTCCTTTCAATTTTCACGACCTCGTTTAGTCCGGTGGGCTAGGATAACGAACATATTCTTTAAAACAAAAAATGTTTTGTCATAATTGACATTACAGCAGCTCATGCAAATGCACAATCCTTTTTTTCACCCTTTTGTGGTGTGTGATATTTTGTAACTTGATGCGAAAACCACATTCTTGCAAAAATGAAGTAAAACTAGTATTGAGTTCTTAAACAATTATATATTTCACAAAAAAAAAACGACAATTTCATATTCTATTTAGAAATTAATACAAATGGTAGATGTATATTTTTGTATATGCCAACGCCAAAATGTTTTATAGAATAAACTAATCAAAGTAATGGGCAGTTCATTAACAAATAGTAGAAGCTTCAATTTCTTCTTCGTGCATTGGAAGAGAAATTTATAACAGGAGGCCCTACGTTAGAGATTACTTACACATACTTTTAAGTGCTCATCTTTAAAAAAATTAAAATTTAACTATTTTTTGCACATATATATTAACTCTCCACCTGCAATTTGAACTACCGTTGTTTGCATACAGGGTCATTTCAGTTCATGTCTGTCTATTTTTAGGTTTCTGTCTTAAAACTTCTTAAATACTCTTTTTAGTTTTTAGAATATCATTCAGCAGTTTCTCTTGTTACCTTAATTACTTTAAGCAAAACAAAATTAAAAGAAAAATATGGGAAACATGTGGATACACACGGAGAGTGTGGTGTAAACCCAATTAAAAATTACACTTTGTTAAATGTGCATGCGTCATTAATTGCATAATTTCCACTGTTCACGTAATATAATCGAAGGTTGCCTTATCATCATCAATATCTGCTAATAGACGGTAAATAATACCCGAGTCAAAATTGGTGTCGATTGTTGGGATGTCAGCAGTGTGTAATAAACGCGATATTTTCGCGTGATTTGAACTTGCTCGCGTATCAATTTACAACCGTGAGCCTGTTTGCAGTTCGAGGGGAACAAAGGGAGGAACTGGGACGATGGCGAATTGGCAGCTGTCATTTGAGTTCCGTTGTTTCATCTATAGAAATAACTGTGACACCGATTTCCAAACATCTGGAAGCATACTTGAAATATTTGTTGAATTGCAGTTTTTAAATTATTTAAGAATTACAATAATAAAACAATAAAAATGTCAAATTAAATATACAATCAGATTATGTACGCTGGTTATTGTAACAAAAATATTTCACATGAAAATCTTACATTTTTTTTAAAAATATATCAGTTCAGTTAGTTTCTCCTCTGAGAATTTTACATATTTTTTCCTGCTGATTGGTGACAAGATCTGCGAAATGTAACGTACATCAAGTAGAATGCTGGCGATAAGAAATCATAACGCGGGGGTTCTTGTGTCTCGAACTTAGCTTTATTGCGATTTCTCTGGAACACATTTCAGAGTTTCAGAGGGTCGAGAATAATGTGAGTAGTGTCGATAGAGGAAGGTCGTAATATACAGCGGTCAATAAATCCTGGTTTGCCAGAACAATAAACGCGGACCCTCTAGAAACAAGGGGAAACGTCGTTGAGGAACGAACGAACCAATGAAATTGCTACGTCATAACCACGTAACACGATTTTGGTTCATTTTAGCAACGGAGCAAGTGATAAATTAAAAATAAATTAAGCCTGACTGTGAGAAACTAACAACAAAGATAATATCACATATCTCGCATATTAATCCTTTCATATATCTTCCACCAGCTTGTTTACTCAGCATCAATAATGCGGCCTGAAACACTTTCGTGATAGAAAGTGTGTACGATTACTTATTGGTGTAAGATTAAAAATTCTTTTGTCCATTCAAGATGATACTACTTATTTCCTGACTACTTAATTTGAAAAAATGTTCGCTACAAAACAGAAAGACGATAGATAATAAGCGTTTACAGTGCTTCCACTAAAATTGCCAGAGTAATTGGATTCTGGGTATTAAGGGTAGAGAAACAAAAAAGGAGTAAGGAAAAAAAGTAAATTGCTTTAAGATTGGCCAATTATCAAAAATTTCAATCAACCAAAGTGCACCGTTCTATATAAAGAACATTTGAAAGAACGTAATTACCCCGAAAATACTTTACAATTCTTTTGTTGAATTAGTAAAAGAAGAAAAAGTTTCACTTCATTGCTCGGGGAGGAAAACGTTGCGTACAATAAAACAGAGAAATGTAAAAACAGTTTATATTATGTTACATTAGGCTAATGCATATGAAACAACGTTATGTTTTTTTAATTTTTATGTTTCCAGCCGAAAATCATCCATCATGTTTTTTCTGTTTGATTACTGTTATGAATAAAATTAAACATATAGAATAATTTTTATATTTCAGTAAAATTTATAATAAAAACAATGCAATTTTATTAGAAAAATATTTGTATGACTATAGAGCAATAAAATAACTGAAATATTGGCTGATTTTATACAATCCCTTTATATTTAATTTTGTTTTATTAATTATTATAAAAATCGATGAAAAAAAATTCGAGTCAAACAAGTTACTCGAAGCAATGTAATGAAACTATAAACACAGAATTCAAACCGTTTCCAGATTTGAGAGATAATTGTTATTCGGGATAATAAAATCATTTAATGATTTAGCAGATATATAAAATATTCTATAAAGAACTACATTTCATATGCACCCATCGAATTTAATACAAAATCCTATTAACACGTACATTTAAATGACTCTGTGTATAAAATGACTAACCTGCATAATGGAAATTTTTACTTATTAGATGTCGTAATTCGCAAAATTCCCATTTCATGCGGTTATTGGGAAACGCCCATGTCTGCCGCGCAAAAACCAATAAAATCGCGATTTCCACTCCGTGAATCCGCAGATTGATGATTACTCGACCTCAATTAGTCGGAGATCCTACGGACGTCTTTTCTATATTACATATAAATTTCTGCTCGATTTCAGGTGAACCTTGAACAACGATATCCCATCGTATTCGCCAGTCGGAGCTTATTGTATTGCCGGTAGTAATTAATGCACGAATCAACTCAACATTAATTAATACTACGACCGTGTTAGGTCTACGATCGATTGATTGCGCGGCTGATTTCGTTGCAAATATTTGTGTCTACCTACGGCGAAGGGGAAGTGCAAAGTTTCAAACACGCTAGAGAATTTAGAAGAAAAGCTCAGAGAACAATGGCATTATGCATGTTGAAACGAACAATAGAGGAACCGAGCCAAGAATGAAAGTCGAAGGAAATAGAAAAGTGTAAAAGTGGTGGAAATAAGATCTGAAGGTTCAGAGGAGCGTATGAAGAAGAAGTTTTGTAAAGTGGTTAAACGTTGGTGAAATTGGGTGGAAGTCAACTCGATCCGCCTCGAGGTAGTAAAAATGAGTGGGTGAAGAAAGCTCCAACCGCTTTGGAGGTTTAATGAAATGACGGAGAACACTGAGAGAAGGCAGTGAAAAGTATTTATTCTGTCATGCTATTTTCTTTTCGTTGCATTTTACTGCGTTTCGACTAGGAGTGACACAGGCGACGCGGCGACGACGTCGCAAAACCAGTGGCACTCTTCTTTTGCGTGCTTAACAACACTAGGGAAAAGCAAAACTGACAAGTAAAGAACGAAGACGAGCGAACAAGGGGATTCGACGACGAGCAACGTTAGTGGAAAGGAGTAAACAACCGCGTAGAGGGGAGATAAAAACGAAGAGAAGCGGAGACACGACGTTAAGAGCAACGGGGAGATACTGACATAAAGAAACGACCTTCGGGTGGAGATTTAATAACAACGCGACGGAGGGGTTGCAGAGAATATGAAGAGAAAGAAACAAGATTAAGTAACCAGGGTAACGAGACCGTGGAGGGTGGAGGAGGAGAAAGGGTTGGAAGAACAACCGAGGATACGAAAAATATTCGTGGAAAAAAAGGACAGTCGATCGAATGATTAACCGAATGATGAGGTGGTGGAAGTATGAGAATACAAAGTGGTTTCCTTCCCTCGCCTCGATCAAACTCGGCTGTACGTTACATCGGCCGCCAGCAATCGTGTCACGTATCCAGATTCATTAAAGGGCAAAAATGGGTGCCAACCAGTCGACGAGGAGCGAACCCACCCCTGGAGAAGAAGGTGAGTCTGTTTCTGTTGACCAAGCACTTATTGTTAGCACCAAGGTGAAGGGTTGTACGAGAAAAGATGAAATGTCGGTAATATTTCATTTGTGATCGTCCATGTTCAATTAATAAGACGACTGCGAAAATGTAAAATTGTTAGAATGGGTTAGTATCGAATTCCGGTAAATTACGGCGTTTACGGAATTTGATGTACATTAATAATGAATATGTGACATAATTATGTAGAAATCGTAAAGTTCTTGGGGAAAAATCTCAAAAGTTAGTTAAACTATTCTATATAACAAGAACTTAAGTTTGTTATACAACTTTTTTTATCCTGATTTAATGTTCGTATTAATTTTTATTTCGTTTTTATAACGAAAAGAATCCAAGTAGACACGTTCGCTCCGTAAACATAAAACTGTTTTTCTTCAGAGTAAGTTGTAAGAAGACAAATGAATTCTTTATCACTTCTTTCTTTATTTAAACTTAAATGCGTCGTACGGAATTTGTAGATATGATAGAACAATTCTGCAGTGCGACAGTTTCATCATTAATCATTTGTATAATACTTTCTAAATTCTCTTCAGAAGCAACCCTAAACGAAACTTCTATATTTAATCTTTTCCCTATATTTGTTGATCCATATAAAAAATTGAAATACAGTTTGAACGATGAATTTAAGGGATTGTATTTTTAAGAAGGATTGTTTTGCAAATAAAGGAACTTAGACATCTTTTTATGATAAAATTAGGAGATGAAGATATTAATTAAATTGTTTATTGGAAGAATACATTATAGAGTGACAAGCGTGATTGCGTCTGCTGCATCAGGTGCTCGTGATAGTAATGGTAAATGGTATAATCATTCGCAGAAGCTTGACAGGTTCACCGAATTTCGCTGTGATGACGGATAGCAGTATGCGCCGATGGGATTTCATGAAATCCTGACATAAACGATAAACTTCCTGTCTTGGCTCTGGTAACGCTGTAAATTTCGCTATTCGCATATCGAGGTCTTCGCACTAGTTCTTCATAAATAGCATCGATAACTTTGTGCAAATAAAACAAAGCCGTTTGTTCATCTCAAGTCTCCCATTGCAGAACGAGATCCCAAGGAAACTGTTGGTTCTCCTTAAAGCGCAAAAACGTTCCTTTACTATTAATTCTACACCATTGCTTCTCGTTTCAGTGAACTTCGATCACTTTCAAATCCTGCGTGCCATTGGAAAAGGAAGCTTCGGAAAGGTACGAGACTCGCAGCGAGCAGTTTTTTAATTAAAATTAATTGAAACACAGTTTGCTCGTTTATACACGCCACTTGTGTTTGTTCGTAAAATTCGTAATTCTACGAACAATCCTGTACAATCGATTTAATGCAAACAGGGCTCGTGGAATAACGATCATAATAAATAAATTAACATATTGATATTAATTAACTTAACAAGTGCCTCGGGGCATTATATTATGCATTACTTACATGAAAATTCATATTGTTTGGTTTCAATTTCAGATTCGATATTGAAATTTTTTCGTTGATATTATTTTAAATATTATGTTCAATAATACATGATGAATGAACTACGGATTTTATGCATTTCACATTTTTGCAAACAATATATAAAAAATTAATTATTTTAGTGAAGGGACCATACAAATAATTCCATGTTATTATAAATTAGCTTCAAAAATTTCGTATTTGTATTCTAATTATATTCAAGCATCTGCATATCTTATACCCGTACACCATTTATCGTGGGACAACAATCCGCCCGGGGCTGGACAACGCGTACTTAACTCAAAGATGCGATGATCTAGTAACGAGCAATTAATTATTTCGTAATAGGTTTGCATAGTGCAAAAGAGGGATCGTACTGGGAATATGTATGCGATGAAGTACGTCCACAAGGGCGAGTGTGCATTGAGGGGAGCGTTGAAGAACGTCGCGCGCGAAGTGGAAATCCTCTCGCAGTTGGAACACCCCTGTCTCGTGAACCTGTGGTTCAGCTTCCAAGGTAAAGCGGACAGCGATAGCGTCTGCTTCTCGAATTCTGTCTACGAGATTACCAGCCCTTTCCCAAACCTCCCTAAATCCCCCTACCCTCTCCCCTGATCGATTTTCCAATGACGAACGCCCCTAAGGGCATTACCGCAACTTAAACTCGATCGACGGTCTTTCTTCGTTCCTTTCCAATCGTCTCATGCTTGTTGCACTCAATTCCGTAATTAAAATCTAAATATGTATAAGTAAAAACTGTTTTTTAATTCTCTTACAACTCTTTTGTATTTCCTATCGTTGTTCATGGCTTGCAAAGCTGCAATTATTTTCAATTTTTTCATAATTCATGTACACGTAATATTTAAAAATTCTTAAATTTCTAGTTTTTGATCATTGGATATATTATAACATTCAGAAAATTTTTCTCTCATGTTACTCTTTAGATTAATGATTTTATTTTGAGAATAGGTTCTAGAGAACACTTGTTTTATCAAATTCTTTTTTTTTCTCATTCCAGACGAGGAAGATCTCTTCATGGTCTCAGATTTGCTGCTCGGCGGTGACCTAAGGTATCACATCCAGCAGGAAGTCGTGTTCACGGAGGAAAGCGTGGTGCTCTTTGTAGCCGAAATCGCTCTGGCACTCGATTATTTACAGTGTCACAAAATCGTTCACCGTGACATAAAACCGGACAACATCTTGTTGGACGAAGAAGGTAAGCGCGTGGCCCGGATCGGGCGTTAAAAATTCACACGTCCCGTTCCTCGCACCGTTTTCGATCAACCAGCACATTTCCTATTCCGTACCTGCTCTCAGCGAGGCAAAACGATCCCGAGAATTCGTTTCTGTAAAAGTTTCGTCGATGCGAACCTAATGTAGAAATAAATGATAAAAATGGGAGTACTAGGAATCGTCCCGATTCGCGAGCATCCCGTAACGATCCTTAAAGAGAAAAGTCGTCGAGGGTGCACTTTCCACCCCTCCTCATGGGAATCGTAGTAATATGCAAGATTGAAGGAAAATTATTGTTTTAAATTGCATCAATAAAAAGAAGAGACGATATCCAATTTGTGATTAAGCGCCTCAGCGTTTTAAACCGCTATGCAACCTGATGAATTAAAAAAGCCAATTATTTCATGGAGCTGTAGTTTTTTGTTTGTTGGTCCAGTTTACCAATAGTTAAATTCGACCGCAGTGTGTAAACTTCACTTTTGCAAATTATCAGGCTATCGATTGATGCAGTAACAGGAGTTATTGTTAGAGTCCGTACTCGTGATCTAACCAAAGCACGCTCGGAAGATAATACGAATTACGCTATACTCGTTCCACTTCTGTGAACTATAAATACATTACTCACGTTGACATACGTAAACTTCATGAACATACTTTCGACATGGTTGTGCCCAGCCGCTGCAATTCCTGCGTACTGGGCTATTATCCTCTACGAGATTACAATAGAACGCGAAATTCGCGGTACCAAAGATATAATGAAATTACGAGATACACAGTTACGTAACGAACGTAACTTAATCACAATAACAACTAGAACAAACATTATGTGTACAAAAATCCATGCAAATTGGAAAATTCCTTTTGAAGAAAAATTTCGTGACATATCCAGAAATATTTCCATAATAACGTAAAACGAAATTTAAAAATCTTACTCTAATATTTTCAATTGTAGAAACAAATAAAATAGAGTTAATGCAATATCGTTAGACTTCGCGGAAATTCATCCTGGCGCTGATAAACTTTGTGTAGTTCTCTAGTGGAAAATAGTCCGCAGGACAATGTAATTTGCCGCTCAAAATAATTGGATGACCGTCTCCTCAAATGAGTTTATTCGCTGAGGTCATTTTTAAAAAACCTTATTATGTTTTTCAATATATGCAGAACGTTCTATTATCAGATCTTCAAGATAAACTTATAATAATAGAACAATTTTTAAGAAAGCACACAACCGTATATGTATAGACAATTTTAGAATAATTCAGCCTTTATTCGTTCTCGATTTTCACTACAGTATAGGAAAATATACTGTCAAATATCACGTTGAGAGCAGGAAATGTGAGTTCGATTCTGAATTACAGGACTCGCACCCTCTGAAACTGGCATAGTAAACTTTCTAATGAGCAACCTTTGATATTTAAGATACGCCATTTAATTCATTTAACGAGCCAAATTCCGCGAATTTCAAATTTGCGTACTCTCTGACAAACTTAGATTTATTTCGTTTACATATCTACAGACCTATTCGCATTTGATTTTCATATGAACGTGGACAAGCCTACTGATTGTATATTCAATTAACCTGGATACCGAATCGCCTCGTCGTTTCCTTCAAAGCCGGTCGATCAGATTTTCTCAACTATGCAGCTTTAGTACATACCTTCGCCTTAGTACATATCCCGCTCGAGCGAACGTTCAATAATATTTAATGTCATCTTGTAAAACCGTTGGAACGGAATAATGGAACTGTCTTTAAAAGACGTCCTTTTAAAGAAATAGCAGAACGTCCAATATCCAGATTGCAGAAAGAGAAATCAAGAATTAATATCTGACCCGCACTAAAGATTTTCTTTTCAACATTTTGATAATCCACTCAGTGGATATGAGAAATACAGTAAAATCTTCATTATATGAAATCGATTTTAACTTCGCTAATAAATTGACAATCGTTTATGATGCAAATAAATGCTAATGAATTATAAACATGACCTGCAATGCCATAATTTATTTTTATTAGGGAACAGATTTGAAATAAATTAGTCGAAAATTCTCTGAGTTATTGCAAGTCTGGCACACCGTCCATTTAACAATATTTGAACGAGAGTGAATAAATTGTCTTATCGTAGCTTTCCATTGAAAATGATTGTAATAAGTCTTGAACCAGGCCAACCAACTGGCCCTTAGCTTTTGTTGATTACAATATACGTCTCCCCCTTCTTCAATACTCTTAATGAAAATGTAAGACCTCAATATTTCGTACCGCACAAAACAAACCACGTTTCTTCCTGCTTTAATATTTTGTCGGCAATCTACTTACGACTTACGTACTACATATGTATGTATATATGTATGTCTCCAGCTTGGAAATCAATAATATTTACCAGTACAACGTTGCACGGTAATATTCGGTCTAACAATGAGGCTGAATGCGGATAAACGACTTCCTTCCATGTAACACGGCTGCAATCATATTTTGCTTCTTATTTCACAGCTAAATGAATAGAGAGAAGTATATAATCGCAATATGGCACGGAAAATTTCGTTCGTCTACACGCAATCTAATAATTGAATTAAAATAAAACTTCGAACATGTGTCACTACTTTAACTTATGTATAGCCAGAGCAACCTTAATTTCACTCTTTCTTCTCACAAAATCTCAATTCCCATGGACAGATATAGAAATCATAAACATAAAATTGGATATCTCTTTCATAAAGAGCAAGACGTCATGATATTATTTTTAGCAATGAAATGAAGGAATAAAATTTTTAAACAAGAACGTGAAGAATTTCATATGATTTTTAGAAAAAGTTTGTGACTATTTTTATTAAGTTTCACTGTGTATCGATAAAAATCACGTACTCGAAAAGTTTGATGAGAAATTTCTATGCAGAGCATACATACGAATAAGAGCGCAAATACGAGATCGAACATTGAAACTAGTATTGCTGGTCCAAACACGAAAATGAAAGTTGCGATTAAATGGTTCGAACTCGAAAATCAAAGTTTGGAGATAGTTTGTGAAAGAAGAAGACAAACAGCTGAAGATCTTTAATAAAAAGTCCGGAAAGAAGACTACTTCTCACACTCAGAAATTCTTAGCTGAACAAACTGTAAATTAACGTATTCTATTATTACTTCTCTCAAAAAAAATTTTTTTATAACAAACAAGAAACTAATTAAAATGAGTTATTGTTATCAGATGCTTTTAATTTCTTATTACGTTTAATTTATCCAAACCCGTATACTTTATAATTTATCAAAATCACCTAGTGCTTATTTTGCGATCAAAAACCTGTTTGCCGGTGTAATTTAGTTAACTCCGATTACCGAACAAACATCTCAAATTACCTTTGTTCGCGATAAAATACAACGAAGCTGAAATAAGCGCTTTTAATTGATTTTATCAAAGGTGAAAGAACGAGTACAATAAACCATCGGATTATATTCCGGTGACGCAGCAGGCCGTGGATCCGGTCATTTTCTTCCATCTTTCTTTCTCTCTTTCTCTTTACTCGCTGACTCAGCCTATAAATAATTTTACAGTCTCCGCTTGAAGGTCTTGTACTTTGGAAATTGTACCTTTCACCCTTTGGCATAATATCACCGCGCCGCCATGAAAGAGCTCTCTGCGATTCATAGCAAAAACGTGTTTCAATAAAGGAAGAGAAGACGTTGCTCAATATAAGGCTCAATTCCACAATACCTTACGAAGAACTTCTATATGTCCACATGAGAAATGTTCCGCTCCATTATGTTGCTTCACAGAAGAATTTCTCTCACTGGCTTTCAAAAACGCTTTAATAATTTGATATTTAGTGATTCGGTCCAGTATCTCAAAATTAATTTTGCACTAAAAATTAAGTACAGGGTAAAAGGGCTATATGAAAGTCTGAGTAATTATGTTTATTAGGCGACAGTTATAAATATCTAACTCCTAATTTGACAATAAAATAAAAAAACTTTAAAAGAGGCATTATATCTAAGTAAAGGAATTATGAGGTATTTGTTCGAGCGTTTATAATTACAGAAAATGAGAGAAGTGAAATTCTGAACATGTTCTTCGAGTGATAAAGTAGCACACGTTTTTCCTTCGGCTTTTCGGATCTTATTCCCTGGCTTAAGTTTGTTCCTCGAGGGATTTAAGGAAAGAGGGTGAACGCGATAAGAGATTGATAGCAAACTTTCTTCTTTTATTATTTTCTCTTTTTTATAATAAAATCGTTTTCGATTACTATTCTCTTACCTGGTACCTTTATTTTTGTTCCATTATTTCTTTTTCCATAGTTTTCGAATGCTTGCTTAAATAAAATACAGCCACACTTGCAAAAGAAAGATAAGTGGTAAGATACAAAATTTAATATTGGGACACTAAAGTCGATCAATTATAAAAAATGTTTTACTTTTATTTTACTTTATTATTTTACTCTAACTAACATAGGAACACGGATAATATTCTGAAATAGATGACCAAACTATTTATCTTCTCAAATTGAGTCCAAAATAGAACAAAAAGATAATCACCTAAGAGATAACTTGTTCAAGGATAAGTAAATGCGACACCGAAAGAGGGTAACCCTAATTTCCTGCTGTATTTAGCCGACAGCTGTTTGTGCCCCGAAATTGCTTCTGCATCATTTAAAATTAGCGAGAGCTGGTGTCGACTCTCCGCTCTCGTCTCGTCCCTCTATCCCATCTCTATTGTCAGAGAAGATACGTACTCGTACTCCCTGCACCCTACAAACGACACCCTTTTACGTCTTTCACCGGTCGATAGACTCAGGTGAGCCTTCAAAAATTCTACTAAAAAAGCTTGCAAAAGTGCAGTGTCAATTTCATCAGAATTCATTCATTTTATCATACCGCGGAATTTGCATTACATTGACAATTCTTTTTATAGTCTGTTCTATTATATTATATTTTATTATAGTCTATCATTTTTATCAATTATATAAAAATATAATTTACTTTATTATTTTACTCTAACTAACATAGGAACACGGATAATATTCTGAAATAGATGACCAAACTATTTATCTTCTCAAATTGAGTCCAAAATAGAACAAAAAGATAATCACCTAAGAGATAACTTGTTCAAGGATAAGTAAATGCGACACCGAAAGAGGGTAACCCTAATTTCCTGCTGTATTTAGCCGACAGCTGTTTGTGCCCCGAAATTGCTTCTGCATCATTTAAAATTAGCGAGAGCTGGTGTCGACTCTCCGCTCTCGTCTCGTCCCTCTATCCCATCTCTATTGTCAGAGAAGATACGTACTCGTACTCCCTGCACCCTACAAACGACACCCTTTTACGTCTTTCACCGGTCGATAGACTCAGGTGAGCCTTCAAAAATTCTACTAAAAAAGCTTGCAAAAGTGCAGTGTCAATTTCATCAGAATTCATTCATTTTATCATACCGCGGAATTTGCATTACATTGACAATTCTTTTTATAGTCTGTTCTATTATATTATATTTTATTATAGTCTATCATTTTTATCAATTATATAAAAATATAAAAATTTCTTTTCTCGCTTTTCAAACATTTTCAGCTGTCACATTCTAGATGCAAATTGGTTTGAAATTACTATTAATAACGTGTTATTAATATTCAAACAATTTATCGTACATAATATATAATATTCAAATAAGTTTAGAGTACAAAGGGCTTGTTATAATTCGGTATTTCAGCAGAGAACGTTGATGCGTTTTATAACAATAAAGATAAAATAAAGTAAATGAAGTAAATGTTGAGGAGAGGCTTACATCGATATTTACTAAGATTCAAATAAAAGCTGCTTATCAAACTTTTAAATCAGTTTCTTCTGTTTCAAGTGAATTTGATACTTTAAGGTATCAATTTAAAAAATGATATTTAATAACAATGTCTTTTAATCTTTTAAACATTACGTCATGCATTTTGCTACTAAGACTTTATTAAGATATCCCAGAATTCACGACTTTCCTCTGAATTTTTTATTAAGAATTTCATTATCTTCTTTTGCACCCTCGGAGCCAGAGTCGTTAATTTCGGGACATTCTCTATTAGTGATAGTGAAAGGTAGAACACACGAAATTGCCCATGTTCGATCGCGAAGGGTAACGGGATATCCGACCCCCAAAGTTAATCGAAATTATGCGTGGGACATCGTTCTCCTGTCACCCGGCAGATGTTAACGATCGCCAGCTGGCGATTAATCAAATCCATTCCATGTAGTCATTCTTAACGTACAGTATGACCGATAAAGAATAGATAAGAAGGGAACGTGATATAATAATCTAATAACGTGTTAACTTAGTTATCATATCCACATTATCTATTCCCTATTCCGTTTTACATAAAAACTCTATTTCGCACGTAAATCTACAACTCGTACGTATAATTTATAACTATGACGAGGATTACGTTCTGTTTAGGACACGCGCACGTGACGGATTTCAATATAGCTACGGTCTTGGAGGATGGAGAATTGGCCACGTCCATGTCAGGAACAAAACCATATATAGGTACGGATCAATTAATACGCTGATTGGTACGTAGTATTGGTTTGATTAACTGAATATACAGAATGACGAACAAAAAGAGAAAGATGATTGATCATTTCATAACCGAGGACGAGATAATCTCGTCATGATTATTCTGTTTATGTAGTATTTAAATAATATAATATCGCGTTTCAATTGCTCCGGCGTGGTTATTTGGATGAAATATTTTGTGTATCTTATACAGGGTAATATATGTATATTAAAAAATCTGACATATTTTGTCTAATTTAAAACAGGAAATCCATTTGTAAGACATTTTATTGTTAATAAAAAGTAATCGAAGATGGTACGCTACATTGTTATCGTTAGTTTCTATGAAATGCTTGAAAACATGATATGTATATTACTTCACTGCATCGTACAACAGAAATTGAGATACAAAATATCTCGGCTATAGTAATAAAAGACTTAAGCAAATGAAGATAATGAGATGAATGAAGAGAATGTAATGATGAAGTAAATGATGATCACATTGAACGTAATGACTAACAATAGGTATTTACTATGAATATAAATATTCGACTGCTTGCTAACATGTCTTGTTAAGGTCTATCATTACTTTCTAACGATGAGAGGACGTATGAAAGGGAATGAATGAATCTTCCTTGTCTTTAATCTATTCGTTTCGCATCGAACATTTCTCGGAACGTTATTATGCAGCTCCAGAAATTTACATGTGTTCCTGCGAGGAATACGGTATCGTCGGTTATGGATTCCCTGTGGACTGGTGGAGCCTGGGAATCCTCGCTTGGGAAACCCTCGCAGGAGAACGGCCTTATCCTATCTGCTCCACTACGTCCAATAGAGAGGCGTTGCACATCCTTCAGGTAGAATCGTCGATAAAACCTTTTTACACGGTCCCTCTTCTTAGTGTAGTGCCTGCCATATTTCCTCCAACAGTCCACTCCTTAATGTCACGAGATGTCATTTCCGCGGGGCGTATCTTCTGAAATCTATACGCGTGCTGACTATGAAAAGGAAGTCTTTTTATCCGACATCCAATCCTGTTAATACTTCGGGTCTTTTTACTGAATGCTACCCGTTGGAAAAATATGAAGTGCCACTGATTTTAGAAAATCATATTGAAATCATAATCTTTTTTGTCTTCTTTTTGATATGACAGAGTATCACGTAAAAATAGTTGGCAATTTTTATTGATTTTTATAAATATTAGAAAATTAAGTGACAGAAAATGTTGTACAGAAGGAAAGACCGACACCCCCGGGTTGGAGTTCTTTGATGTTCGAACTTTTGGACGGGTTGTTAACTGTGTCACCTGGGGCTCGTATATCCACACTGAAACAGTTTAAGCAAGTGGGCGTGATGCGTGATCTTGACTTTGATAAAGTACTGAACAAACAGATCAAGCCACCGTTCACGCCGCCGAAGGATCACCTGAACTGTGATCCAACGTTCGAACTCGAAGAGATGATCATCGAGACGAAACCGTTGCACAAGAAGAAGAAGCGTCTGGCGAAGCAGAGGTGAGCGACTTGTAAACGGGGGCTAAGTTAATTGTTGAAATGTAAATAAATCTCTCACTCCGCTGAAAGAAAATTGATCCTATAATATTTCCTTTTTTCTTTCTCCTTTCAATGTACTAAGAAAAGAACGAGCGTATTGACGGTTGCGTGACCCTATGTTTAATTTAGGGAATTCGTACGAAGCGGGAAATTCTTTTTCCCTTTTATGACCACGTGATCGATAGAATTTCTTCTCTTCTATTTCGTTAGACGCTTTCAACAAAAATTCTTCTCCTTATATTGTTTCGAGAAAAAAAAATCAATTGAATAAAATTGTCCGCACTTCTATGTCCCCGTCCGTAGATCCCTGAAAGTCGATCATCCCCCGGAGGATACGGCGGTTGGAATCGCGGAGAGTGCCGGACCGAATGTGGATTTCAGAAGATTAGCATATATCCCGGAGTACCGTGTGTACAACCGAGAACGTGAGATGGAAAGACAGGAGAGGGAGAGAAAAGAGAAACAGTGGGAGGAGGATCTGAACACTGCCATGAAGGGTGCTGAAGAGAGATTGAAGTGAGTTAAATTGCTCGTCTAATTACCGCTTTGCTCGGTCGTGCCTCCATCTTTTTTTCTTCACTCCTTTCGAGAGAGAGGGGAAAGAGACGAATGATGAAGGTAATTTCGAAGTATCCGAGAGAGTATTAATGAAAGGGATAAACGAATTTTATGTAATACCTCACCACTGTAAGCTGCGCGCGGAAAATATTTAATTATCGATAGTCTTTTCTATTTAATTATTGTCAGGATTATAGATATAATCTCCTTTTTTGAAAATAAATTGTAAATTAAATAATTAAGTATATTATATATATATATAATTTATTAATAAAGTATATTATAACGGGATATAGAACGGGGGATCAAATTGAGAACGTTAACGCCAATTGTTATTATGACTGATTTTTGTGATTGATTCTGAAACGAAACGAGTACACAAATTGCGATCTTTTAAAATCAAATCTATAATTTGTTACGCATAATTATGATTAAATTTGGCTATAACTGATGATTGCAGGGCAAAGGAGCAACCGATACTGCGGACCGGAAACCGATTGAGTGTATCCAGTGTGAAGACACGCATAAACAGTTCTCCAAGACAAGGAAGACGCGGCAGCACGGCGACGTCCTCAGATATCGACTTCATCGATGCCAGTCCCGAGCCTTCTACATCTTAAATTCTTTCTAGTGAATCGTTCGTATATGATACAAGAAAATTCATACATATTCTCCGGATAGAAAGTTTTAAAGTGTCATCATCTTTGCAAAGTATTGTACTTGAAAAATCCGTTCTCGTTCTTGATACACGTAGCCCCTGGGAACAATGGACATTTCCGGTTCAGTGACTGCTCGAAGCGAATGTGATATTCACGAATTCAGTAAGGGTACAGTGAATAAAAATTTGACTACGTTTTCTTAATAAGATTAACACGTTCGAAATTTATAATTGATAAAAAATCTCTATATAACACTTGTACGAAGGTTTCTTTACCGAAATATCAACTAGTATAAGCACTCAACCATTGATCTCACTCTGATTCTCTCTTAAGAAAAGTGTAGCTACCGTTTATTTTTGTAAGGAATGAAACAAAATGTAACCGACCAATGCAGAGCCTTTTAAAGAACATTCTACAGATATGAAAGCTTAGTGAGGAAAAACAAGAAAGAAAAAGGACATTTAGGAGTTAGGACTTTCCACTCTTTTATTTTCCTTGAGCTCATCTCTTTTTAAAAAAAAGAACAATCGAGCAATACAATGTTGCAAGGGATTGTCAGAGTATGCCGTCAGTATTTACACACACACACACTCTTCACTACATATAGCTGGAACGTGATCCTTACCTTCCCTCTTACAATTAAAGGATCACGGAAATCTACGATAGTTCCAATTTGGATGAATTTTGTAACGTTTGACAAAGTTAAGACGTCTGCGTAAAAGATCTATATCATCCGAATTTTGTAGCGAATTAATGATTACGAGGATAATGATCACGAATAGGTGATCTCCTCGATTCAGATTGTTGTTCAATCATTCATTCACCTGCCATAATCACGTCACGTACCTTGAATCAACGATTGCACCTCCGATAATCAACCGACGAACACCAAAAATAATGTAATTTTATAAAATAATTGTTAGAAAAGAATACATACATTGTAACGTAAAACTAAATAATTAATAATAATAGATAATTAAAACGACTAGAATACCATTTTGTCTCTGTTTCCTTCATATTATGGCTTATCGTTATTAAAGTTAACTGAAGTACTTGAAAAACTCGGAGTAAGAAACGGTCAACTAGATTTTCACTTGACTATGCGTTTGAGCCGTTTAATCATTCGAAACAAGAATTAGTAAAAAGGATTAAATTCGTTTGGTGCATCGGATAGTTATAAATAAATTGAGATTCTTGCACGGAACGACTTTTGATAAAATAAAAAACCACGCATAGCCAAGTCATTTTGTCTTGAAATTTGGGGCAGTAAATAGTCACAAAAACTTCACGGCACTGTGACTATTTATTGCACCGAAACGACTACCAATATCAATTATTCTTAAAGAGGCAACTGAAGATTAAGTCGACCACTTCTTGCTCTGATCCGCTCTACATTTTCTCCTTATGTATTGGTAAAACTAATCGATAAGCGCTGGAACGGCGCCATAAGCACTCAATTAATATATTTACTACAAAAATTCGATAGAAGCGATTTAATACGTACATAATAACTGTAATAGGTACATAAACGAGAGCGGGATTGCCAAAGGAGTGCCGAATAATCAATAACAGAGGCGTCGTTTCGTGAGAGGGAACAGAGAATGAAACAACAAAGTTAATGGTCTTTACAAACTTATAAATTCCTTCCGCTTGAGAGGAACGTTTTTAATTGGCAATTACAATAACAAAACAAGAAAGAAGAACAGCCGGAGAAAGTGAATGCTTAATGCTTTGCATATTGTTTGCACTTGAAGAGATGCAAGGTCCTAACAATATTCACAGAGAAGTAATGATATAAAAGATAAAAAAAGAACTGCAAAAGTAAGGAATGAAAAATTTCACTGGATCAATATGACATTATAGAAAATATAAGAAGATAAGAAATATAAAAGTATGTTTATACGTGTTCTCCAGACGTGATCCGATGAAAACCGCAAAGTAAATATTAGGAAAGATAAATTTGACTTGAGGGTAGAAGCGATTTATCTATAAAATAGAGTAACGTTTATTTTTTAAATTAAGAAGAAGAGTCCTACGAACGTATTTGTACACGAACGGAAGATAAAGAAGATAAATTCGCGTCGCAATGCTCTACTTAAAAACAATTATTGCTTCCAGTTTGCTTCCTTCGTACATTAAGCTAGTATAATTAAATGAACATTTGATTGCATTTATTATTGATGCAATCATCGTTGTCCCTTCAAAACACATGTCCCCGTGATATTTCATTAAACGTGGATACTTAGACATTCCTCTACATCGCTCCGTTTCAGCGTAATTTCATATAATAGTATCTATCGAACCGCGCCTCTTTTTCTTGTCAAGCAGACTTAATTTCGTTCCGAGAGGAATTTCTTGCACCTTTGGAATTTAATCAACAGTAATACGATTTCTTGTTTGTAAAAAAGTGGGAAAACATCGTCGTTTAATTCCTAAAATGGTTATTAACGTTGATGATAAAAAAAAGGTGTTAGAATAATTGGCAATTTTGCATAAGAGGGAATGCAATCGAAGCCAATTAGTCGCATTAAAGAAACAGAAACTATCTGATGTGAATGTATTTTCCCGAAGAATTGGAAGAAGGAAAGTGGATATAAGTATAATCGAAGAAGGTGAGTGTAATGTATTCAAAATGAAACACATGAAGACCATAATTAGAAACGTTAATTTATTTGATACATCAATATTGCAAAGAGATTCGACCAGCGGGTTCTTTATGATACTAATGGGTTTACATAATAGCATTAATAGTTAATAAAAAAACAACAACGTTGGTAAAAATAATTATTGCCTATGCTTCCGTTCTAAAAACGATTCTTTACGTTTGTTTATATCACAAAAATATTGCTACTTTTCGTCAAACTTACATTTTAAAATTTTATTTGATCACTCTCAGTCAAAAATATGATTTCAGAAAAATAGAGTATCCAACGCATAAACAAAAAATATTGCATTCTCTTTCCTATGTCATGTTATGTTATTCAAGGATATATTGGATTATCGTCAGTCTGTAATGCCAGATAAGCGTTATCGAATGGTAGATATGCATCTTACGTAATTATTTATCATTACGTAATATCTTGAGAAATCATTTAATACACTATCCTTATCGTTAAATATCCTGATCACAGTAAATATTATTCGAATTATTAATTATTAATTATTAATTATTAATTATCGCGAACTCGCCGAGCGAAATAATAGCGCATGCAGTCGAGGAGTATTTCAATAAATATGCTATGCATTTTGGCTTCGACTCAAACCTATGTACCATAAATTCTCTGAGCAAGAAGTGTTTGTATAATTTTTCGCCATTCTATAAACTATCAAAAACACACGGTTATAAATTAAATGCCTTAACCATCAATAATATTATGCACGCTCGACTTATTATATATACATACAACACGCATGATTATTTTTGCACTCGGGCATACAAAAACATCGTAAGTTATCCATAAAGCTTTGTATATCCTTAAATTATAAAGAACCATTGATTTACAGAGAACAGCAGTCGGCATAAAAACAAACTTGATTATAAAAATATACATTGAATATTGGTAGAGATTGTACAATTATTTAAAACAACATCCATATAACATATTATTTTAAATAGTCGTATAACTTTCGAAAAGCTTTTGAATACTTCTTAAACAGAAGTAACGTCTGTAACTTCTATTCTAGATATTGGTTTGGCTGGTTCTACTATTATAAAGTTATTTGTGTCTTCGGTAGATTCTCCAATGCGTAGCTGTTGCAAATTTGCCATTATCGAATCAACTTGTATCGGTTGTTCCGGTGAGGTGTTGCTCTTTCGAAGTTTATTGAAGTGGAGGTAACAGATACCGCGATATCCCAGCCAAGTTATTTCGTTCGGTTTGATGCCGCGTTGTAACAAAGCATTCTTTAAATCGCGTATTCTTGCGTCAGGTGAGATATTTGATAATTTTAAAGAAAATTCCACTTGAGATTTAGGTCTCGGTTTCGAACTTTTTCGACGTTGTTGCACATTCTTTTCGCTGTTTCCCGTTTTCTCCTGAAATCAGTACAAAGCAATATAAAATACATGACATTAATATTGTTTATCTACAATACTCACATCTGTTTCGTTGAAAAACATAGTATTGTCATTGCCTGATTTAACTTTATTGTCTGCACGTCTTCTAGGCAATCGTGTTTTTACTTGTTTTTCTCCTTGCTCGTTACTGTCGTTATCATTGGATTCGTTTCTTCTCGTTTTAAATCGTTTCTTATTCTTTACATAATTAGAACGATTTCTATAAGATTTCTGTGCTTCTACATCCGAGTCCTCTTCTTTCAAAACAATCACTTTACCTTCTCTGAAAGAAAGCAAAACAGTGCAATTTATTTTTGTATAAGTATATGTATGTATCGATATGGATCTGATTATCTATTACAGTACATACTTTTCCTCTATTTCTTTTAGTCGCTGTAACACTGGCATTGATTTAATCCTTCTTTCGCTCAACATATGCCATATAATACCACTAGGTTTCTTTAACTTTGGATTTACTACTATTGTTTGAGTAGGTGTGACGATTATATCAACAGGTACATCGTATTCTTTGAAAATTTCAGATGGAAGACTATCTAGGATTTGACAGTCATGCACAGTTGTAATAACAAGAGTATCCTGTGTGACTGCCCCCATCCTCATCATCATAGCAAATTCTAAATCTGCAAATCCTTTCCCTTTACCAAGTCTATATCCATCACGACTAACGCAGACAGAACCTAATACCACAAGATCCACCTAATATAAATAAAAGCAATATTTAACAAACTTCGTATCATGGATTTAGATAAATAATAATGATCAATGGAATAAAACGTACTTTTATTTTGGAGTCCACATCAAGTGGTTTACCAACTGTCATTAAGCCATGAATCTTTGATAATGTTCTTAAATCATTTTTTGAAGCACCAGCAGCTGGTGTGATATGAAGGAACAAACCAGATTTTAATCTGGGAATGGGAACTAATATTTCTTTATTGGCTTCTAAAGCTAAGAATCTTACAGGTTCTTGCGGTTTATCTGGATTTATCTTTATGACCCTGGCCTGTTTAAACTCTTCTAACTGGGATAAATTTTGTGCTGCCTCAGCAGCACCCTTGAAATTTGGTATACGGTCATAAACATTAGAAGGAAAATTGACCAATTCATTTTTCATTAGGTAATCCCATACTTTTTGACGAAAACTATGTTTGGTTACTTCTTGAGCTAAAAAATATGTAGTTAGTACTTTTTATAAAATAGTACTAAGCATGAAAGGTATTATTGTTTGTGACTCAATATTATGTCACTTCAGACTATTTTCAAAGTTTTTTGATCAATGTGAGAAACTGATGTAACTCTATTATTAAAACTAAATTATCATGAACAAACATATCCCGATTTAAAAAAGTGCAAAATACTACGAATATATAATACGTCAAACAATTACTCACGCAGTTGTTCTTCGGTCATCTTCACGAAATATTTCAAACGATTTTGACTGAATCGTATTATTCGTAAATCGTAGTAAGTTGTGGAAGGAAATTTTATGA